CATGTGATCATCCCCATCGTTGTTTTGAACAACACTACCACGCTAGACTTCTCAGACTGCAGCTGAATTTACGTCCAGTGAGATCATTAACATTCTCAAGAGGGCCCATGACACGAGTTCCATCTGACTCTAATCTTATTTGAGACAGATAGAGCCGATCAGATAGAGTCTAGCCAACCTAGGGCTCACACTCTCCGCAGTCACGGATTTCAGACAGTGACAAATCGAACCAACGGGCAAGGCTGCGCTGTGTAGCTTCGCAGGAAACCCATTTTTGTTTTCACCAATTACATTCTGGTGAGGATTCCTCTTCATGTCAGCAGGGCCATGTATACACCAAGAAGCACCTCAATTGCCTATGCAAGCAATGTAGGTTCTCCTAGGCAACAAGAGGGCTTGTGAGGAGTGAAACGGGCCCTGTGGGCAGCTATAAATACTAGGAGAAATCCGGAGGATCGCAAAGATGTAGAGGACTTGTGCCCCAAAGATCCGAAAAGAATCGTCCGATGGGACCCTTGGAGCCCGAAACCCCTATTTGAACTCCCAGATTCCTCACAGTCTGGGCTTGCTTGGGCCCGGCGGGCCTGACCTCACCCCCGCTGGCCCCTACGGGATCTCCATCCACGGCCACTGCTCACCGCCCACCCTTTCAGTGGGCGCCAGCGCTGGGAGGTGGGGTATGCCCTCCCACGCGCTGGGCAACGGGCGTGCTGCGGTCTGGGCCTTCTTCCGTCCATCTGTTGGCAATGCACTGCAGTGGAGCATCGGAAGCGGCCGATTGTCGTGAGAGCATGGCTGCATCGCCAGTTTTAGACCTCGCATGCACTCACGGCTAGCGCGAAGCGTGCTCCTTATCTGGTAATCTGGCTAAGCAAGCATCAGTCACGAGCGCCCCCGGAAGCAAGCATCAGTCACGAGCGCCCCCGGAAGCCTCCACACGGCAAGTGCGGGTCGGCCGTTGACAGGCCGTTGGTGCCTGGTTCTGAATGGAGTGCTGGCCTGGAACGAATGGGGCGTGCCTAAACAGTTTTAATGTTAATTGACTTCGTTGAGCCTTTTCTTCGGGCGGACTTAAGAATTAAAATTAGGCCTGGATGCCTCTGTACTGAAGGCGCCTCTGCTGAGTGCTGGTCCCCACGGGCCTCATGGTGCTGAGTGCTGGTCCCCCACGGGCCTCATGGTGACGCTGATAGTTACCAGGGTGATTACGGCACAGACAGCATGATCGTGCCAATTAAAAAAGTTGGAGGATGTACCGCAACCCTCAACATGTATCATTAAAAAAATATATATTTCCGGTCGGCCCAATCTATTTATAACCACTGGGGATAAAAGTAACGCCTCTGGTTTTCTGGAATTAGTTATCAACCGTTTTAGATCGAAATTGGTGGTGCTGCCGAGTTATCAATTTCACATGTTTGACAAATAGTTATTTAGCTCGGTTGCGGACATGTGTGGTTTTTTATTATGCTGACTTGCTGATGATGTATGGCTATTCATGTAGCGATTCAGATTGGGGGCATCCACCAATCTGAAACCGCGTCATTTCACGCGTCATGTAATGTAGCCGTGAAATGAGTCATTTTGCTATCATATGACACGAGACCTCATTAAGTCGCAAAAAGGTCATGCAAGACTCCTTACAAATGCGACATCGCAACAGCTTACAATACCAGTTTGTTACAGAATTTTCCGTAAACCAACTTTATGGTTCAAATCCAAATGACCACTGACTAGATCTTTCTAACGCCACATCGGGTAAAATGCCTCGGAAGAAAGCCCACGGACTCATTTGCTTCATGACTAGTTAAGAGCATAAGGCAGCTCGATCTGGTCTGACCTTTACCGTGACTTTTTTGCGAATTATAGTTTGTCTCTGACGTAGAGCATCGTTAGTTATTGTTTGGCCTCAGTTTAAAGGTTTCATTGCGGTTGCGGGTGCTACATGCTGTCATGCGATTCTTATGGCCATTAGGTGCTTGGCACTATGCTCAACATCAGTCACTCCGAAAAGGTTCTGTTAGACAGGGCGTTGGTAAGATACCAAATGCTCTCATGATGTTTCCCATTCCACGGCCAGATCCAGAGATAGCGGGAGTGGCTCAAAAGATTCGCCGTACGGTCGCGGTTTGCAGGGAAACCCGAGCAATGCAGGCTAATCCATCGTTCCGCGAGTGTTGTTGGAAGCCGACAGTTCTTTGCAAAGTTCGAAGATTGCCTTGGAGCCAACTAACGGTGTTTCGTTTGCTCCAGTACCTCTTGAACTGCCTGAGCTTTCGTTTCACTCAGAAGTTGTTCGTTGAAAGTAGTTTGGGATCTTTGTGCGGGCTTAAGTCATCCCAGTGGTCTTTGACAGATTGGGGCCGCTCTTTTCCAGGCGTATTCAGTCCCTGTGAAGCTATTATACAGCTAACACCTGGCGCGTCTAGTAGCACATGAGGGAGGCGAATATTGTCGGGCTCCTGGTTTCCGAAGAGGTCGTCTCAGGACGCCCAGGGCTGGAGTCGCCTCAGGTTCGGCCGACCGCCGCCCTGCTGATGCTGACGACCTGGCGGAGCTGGTGCTGACGAGCTGACGGGGCTTGCGCTGTCGGCAGACGGAGCTGGACCCAGACGTCAGCGTGACGCCGCTGCCCAACACGCCGTCAGCCGAGCTGGAGCAGAGTCCGGTGGCAGTGTACTTCTAGTGGCGCGGCTGGCGCGGCGGCGGCCCGCCGGGCCGGACGCTCCGTCGGCGGCACGAGCCGGCCGAGCGCGGACCCGGCCCCCACACTCCCACCCCCTGCGTGGATCGAGCGGCTCGGGGAAACCGACGGCCCGGGCGCGAGCGGTCGACGGCAGCGCGATACGAGTGTGTTGGAGGAATGTGAGCACGGCAGTGGCTGGCCTCGTATGCTGCATTTCCGAGAAGCGTTGAAACGTTGTGCATCGTAGTTGTTTGCCAAAACGCGTCACATGTGGACCGTGTACAGATGGGTCCATTCGAATCTGAAAGAAACTGTGCACGCAGGGCTTTACGCATGGAGAGGCCCCATATGTGTTGCAAAGTGACTGACTGACACGCGTACTGTTAGATTCGAAATGTCATGCGCCGCAGAACGATGAAGTAAATTTTACGTGAATGCATGCCGGACAATTTCGTGAACAGGTTACCAGTGAGGCCTGGTGGCCGAACGTAAATTGTCATTGTGTGGGTGCAAGATACCAATATTTTATACGACGCCCTAAATGTTTGTAAAGCTTATTGTTACAATTGTTTTAATACAATGAGTACTGTGTATATTTGTTTTCACATGGAGAATTACCTAAAACCCGAAAGCGTCTCTTCAGTTTGCACTTCAAACGGGCTGTTGATTTTTTCTGTCCACGTTTTGCTGCTAAGCAGGCCCTCGCCCAATGCGAGTTGACACGGACTTTGCTCGTGCAAGGTAAACTGACGACACAGCACGATAAAATCGACCTAGACTTGCCAGCTTAGGGTGATATGGGAAGCAAAAAAACGAGTCTTTATCTCTCCGCACTGGCAGGGACATGCGATCAGGACAGCTGGGATGGAGCGTGCGTAAACATGCGATCAGGACAGCTGGGATGGAGCGTGCGTAAACAGTCCGGAGCCAAAGTCGGAGACGCGAATAAGCCAACGAGGCCTATTAAGTCCCAATGTCCACCTCGTTACTCTTAGGAAAGCTGCCTCTGGACTGCAACGGACGACAATCGGAATCCGGCGCAGTAGGACTGGCGCAGTGGAATTCACTCCCTGCATTGCATTGAATCAGATGAACAGTATATATACCCAGCCGGAAGAGATTCGACCCGCGTTGTCAACACGGAATCCCTGAATGCGGGCCCGCGCATCATCGCACGTTCGGGTCGGTGCCCACTGGGCGTGGACCAGCTCCACTGGTAGTAAATAAGAGGACAATGCAACCGATGATATCACCCGCGCTGTCAGTGGGCGGCTGAAAACACAGGAAATGGTGACGCACTAAACCAGTAATGATTGGGAGAGTACAACCAGCGGGAAACAACGTGCAACGACCAGTGCGGGTGCTATTGATTTCGGCTGTCTGACACAAAGCATACCATGAAAGCCATCCCGACCCCAAAGCTCCCGTTTATTGGGTCCGAAACTGTCAGGTCTTATCCAGGGAATTCCACATCACCGGGGGCTCAGCGTTCACATTCCGTCGCTATGTGGTCTGTTGCGAGGACGTGGTCAGTCCTAGGAACCCAAAATCCTGACAGGTGTTCTTTTGGTGACTGACTGCGTGGTGGCGGGAATTCCAGCAGGTGCATTCGTGCCCGCAAGGCCCGCTGCTCCTGGCTAAGCCGGTTGTGTTGTTCTTCTGGAAAATAGTATCTAATCAAAACGTCCCTCAGCACGAACTTGTCAGCTATCAGATTTCATTGGCGACTACCGGGGTGGGGGGGGGGGGGGGGGGTCCATGAGCGCGACCTAAGAAGCATCAGCCAACGGGTGCGCTGTGCTTCCGGGACTTGAGGCGGCCGACGCCCGGCAGAGCGGGAGGGCGGGGGGTGGGAGGGGTCCGGCTCGGCGCAGTTGGGGCCCCGATCATCAACGTAACGTACAACGCCTGCAGCGGCAGCCTCGGTGTTGTGGCCCTGCTCAGTTCTGGCCTTCGCCAGAGCGCCCAGCCCTCCACATGTCTGACCAGTGGCGTCCGCAGAGTCGGCGCCAGCAATCGTTACCGGCAGGCAACAGGACGCACGCCGTTCCGGAAGGGTGTTCAGCCCCACTCGCCCTCCCCAGCCCGGCTCGACTGACATGCCAATCAACGGAGCGAGGTCCGGCTCCCGTCCCCGCCAGCCGGCCGGGGCCGTGCGACGCGTCACCATGACGACGGGTGCCATCCCTGCACGCGCCGGCACGGGGGGCGGGGGGAGGGGGCGGTTGACGTTACAAACAGGGCGCCCCTGAGCGCCCTCTGCCGGGCGGCGCTGAGCCGGAGCGGCGTTTATAAGCATAACACGGCGCCACATTGCAGGGGAGGGTCGCGGGTGGTGCACGGTGTGCGGGCAGCAGCGGCATCGGATCTCATTGGTCGCAGCTCGGAGTATGGCGATGGGCGCGCTGCACTGTATCGGTGAGTGGTCCGCTAGATGCGGAGACGGCGCGACGCTCATTCGGCTGAATCGACCGCAAGTGATGTCTGCACTGATTGTAATTGTTATTCGATGTGTCTTGTTCCAGTTGTCGGGCTGTCAATGCATCTTTTTTTATCCTAGTTATTCAGCGGGAATAGGGCATTTAATACCACTCTTGTGCGCGTGCAATGTTCGTGGCAGTTGCGCTGAACAACTTACGCGTTTTCGTTTTGTAGCATCCTTATGTCTGCAAGACGTTTTGAGGACATTATTCATGTTACTGGCGGGTACGGCCAGCGAACGGTCCAACGAATCATTGCAGTACGTTATGTGGGGATGATACGGTTGAATATTAGAACAGGATCTTTGCCTGGCACTGCACCAGTGAATGAACATTTCGCTGAAGCTTTTGTTTCGCTTCGTATCTATCAATGTGTCTTTCTAGTTTTATGTATATATATATATATATATATATATATATATATATATATATATATATATATGTATATATATAAATACGCATATTTGTATGCCTTCTTTATTCACTCAAAGGACCTACCCTACGAAGCAGGTGCTACCTTTGGAAGTTGCACCAATGCCCCCGGATTTCGGCGGGTGGATGGGCGCTGCACTGACGGTGAAAGGGGTCTCATTAGCCGAGGGCGAGAGAAGGGCGAACGAGCTCGTGCGCAACCGTTTTGACTTGGTATTTGGCTATCGTCAGTGCCGGTTGTGCTATGGACAGTACACCCAGCTGCGCGTGATAGAGGGCTTGGTTTTGTGTGACGTGCGTAAATGTTAATACAGGGCATTGAAAATGCAATTAAAACACAATAAATACACAACATTGGCAGACAAAATTTCGTTTACTCCTGGGTTGTGTTTACACGTTGAACAAGGCCACTTTTGGTTGATTTTCAAAGTTCCAACTTCAGTGATATATCCCATTTATCCTTTACATATTCCATATCATCCTTTATACATCCCATGCTATCCTTTATATATTCTATCATCTTTTGTCACTTTTGGTACAATTTCAAAGTCCAACTGCAGCAACATCCCATATTATCCTTTATATATTCCATATCGTCCTTTTTGTATCCCGTATTATCCTCATATCTATAGATATATTCAATAGTATATACCATGCTATTCTTTATACATTCCATGTCATCCTTGCTATGCCCCATCCTTGAACAGTCCCAAGACATCACCTTGCTGACTAGCTAACACTGATGTCTAGTTTTGATCCCTCAATACCAGTGGGTAGCCTTGCTTAAGATCGCGGGTGGAACGCGGGCTCACATTAAAGTGGGTTGTGTGGTATTTCGCCATGCGATATTCGAGCGGCGAGAGGCTTCGTCATGCCTTCCGACATCGACACGTCTCGTCAGTGTTCACCATTCAGCAAAGTGACTTCCTTCAAAATGCTACGGACGTCCAAATACGGCGACATGTAATTATTGTAGGTGTTTAGGGTCATGACGCGATAGCCGTTCCTTGGCCAAAATGTCGTGCATCGATCCTTTTCTAAACGTTCAGTTATGTTCCACCGGTTACAAAACAAGTCTTGTTATTCACTGGTCGTCCAACGGCTGACAACTGGACAGCAGTGCTCGCCGGCCCGCAAAGAACCTGTTGGATTTATATATGTGGCTGTTGCTCTGATGCACTGTGACTCAGAAATCGTACCCGATAAGTTGGGTCTCAGATGACCGCACAATGCCTATATTTTATTCGTTGGGGAGTAACAGAGCAAATTGCAATGCGGCATGTGCGCACTGCATTTCATCTGGTCTTCTTGCGACGGCCACGCTGCGTGCACTACAAACGAGCACGCGACCTTGATATACCCTAGCTGAATGCAGAGCTGAAAACAATTACATTGGCAACCAGGCCAGCGTTGTTCACAGGACGGTGACGCTGAAAAACCGGGCCAGGAAGGCGCTTAATGACCTTTCCGAGCCCCGGCCGTGACCCCATCTCTACGCGTGAGTGGTGCTCCTGCACCCCCCCCCCCCCCTCTGCAGTGACGTCAGAGTTGGCGGCACGTTGGCGTCGTCAACTGTGCGCAGTGCGTGCTGTTGGGTGACACATTTCGGAGCAAGTCGGTGCTCGGGACTCACAGTACTTCTGGCTGCACCCGATCACCGCCTGTTCAGGCTCAGCCCTCCGACACGCGTCAGCCACTGACGTCATTGGTGTACGAATACCACATCCCCTGCCCGTCGAAGCGGCTGACGCCAGCCATGGCGACCCGCCGCTCTGAAAAGTCCGTCGGCCCGGACACTTGCGCGCCGGAAGTGCCGCCGGAGCGCGTCACTGCTCGCCGCCCTGACGCATCTCGTGTGGTGCTTTTTCAGGCGCGCTGCTGCTGGTGGCGGCGGCGAGCGTCGCAGGGCAGTCCCGGCGCATGCCATTCCAGCAGCTCCTGCACAAAGTAAGCGGCTCTCGCGCCGGAGACGGACGCGGACGCGTCACGCGCTCGCAATGTGTCCGGTGCGCGCCGCCGGCACGCACGATAGGAGTCTGACACTCGCGCGGTCATATAAGCCGCACAGTGCCTGCCGCTGGCGAGCGGCCGCGCGCCGGTGCATGCTTGTGATCTGCTGTCGGAGGCGGACGTACCGAAATACGCGCCGCCAAAAAACGTCCTTAACTGGGTACGGCGAGCGTCAAAATCAATCACTGCTTCGCAAGCTAGGCGCGTAACATGCTGATGTGGTGTGCACAAGATATATAGGAGTAAATGTTGGAGCAGGCCTCCGAGGCATGGTGGCAGAAGATAGGTGCAGGCATGTATGCCATCACAGCCAAGGCGGAAATTTTATCGCGTCGCCCCAAATCAGTGTTCGGCGCATGCGGAGGCAGGAGCAGCCGGGCAATTACCTGTGGATGGGCAGACAGTTGCTATGGTGACCTCCGGCGAGGAAGAGACCGCCGCGGGACGACGGCCCTTTTTATGCACAGCGGCCTATCACGACAAAAATGCAACAGAAATAGTACTTGAACCTCGCACGCTGTCATTCACAGCTTGTATGCGACACGGGGGCCGTTTTTACGCCACGAGGGTTCTCAGTTGTGGCAGTTTGAACGCATCCAACTTGCATGCATCACTAAGCCGTCTGCTGTCGCAGGTTCGGGTCTTGTCTCCATTATGACGTGACGTGGTTCTGCCATGACTTGGCCCTCGAGCACTCAAGAGCTTTGCATTATTGACGCTCGCTATCATTCATGACGCCTGTGGTGCGATTATTTCCGACCATACAAGATAGCTGAAGCTTCCTCTCCACCCTAAATACATTGCGTCCCTGATCACGGCCTGCCTTCTGACCGCATGACTGCCACTAACCACATCATGGCCTATCATGGACTTAGGGGCCTCCTAAAAGTCAGAACTGGCGAAGAGATATGTTGGCCCGCCCTGTCCGATGGCATGTTGGCCGGCCGGCTTCCCACCCTACCGGCGTCCGGCGGCGCCGCCCCTCCGGTCTGCACCAATTAGCTGCCGTTTCCAACTGATCGTAGTGGAGCCACACCACTGGAAAATCTGCTCAGAGCTGCCAGGCGGGCAGGGCCCCTGCTTCGGACTACTCTCGGTCGATTGCCGAGCGGCAAATCGTGAGTAGCGTTCGTCGATTGGGGTCCCGATTCGTGGGTTCAGCTCTGACCCCATTCAGAGTGTATTCGGTTCTGCATGCCTGCAGCCGACAGCTCTTTGTTGGCTGGCGAACACTGGCCGTTCCAGTCCCTTCATCGAACAGAGGACGACCGGTGGACGACATCTTTATGGCCGGCGGAACGCAGTCTGAACGTTAAAACAGGATTGTTGCGTAGCATCTGAGCTAGGGAACAACAGTTTCGTCACGCCTCTCGACGCATTTGCTTCTCGTTTTTTGACCTCCACAAACCGGTCAAGAATGCAGAGGTTCCGGGTGGTCCGTGATGTGTTCAGTCGCGTCCCTGTTCTGGGGAGGCGTGGGTCTACGGTCACATCCCGCACTGTCTTTGGCGCAGCAGCCATCGGCCGGCCCGCGTTCTTTGGCGCAGCAGCCATCGGCGCAAGCGTTCTTTGGCGCAGCAGCCATCGGCCGGCCGCGTTCTTTGGCGCAGCAGCCATCGGTGCAAGCGTTCTTTGGCGCAGCAGCCATCGGCCGGACGCGTTCTTTGGCGCAGCAGCCATCGGCCGGCCGCGCTCAATGCCGATCACCGGCAAGCGCTGCACTGAGATGGATAGGCGCGGACTTGTTCGAGGGAAAGGACGCCCACGCACGCACGGGGCGCAGTCCAACGGCTTAGATCCGTTGCCTTCCATGCGACCCACATATGTCCGCTGTTATTTTTTCTTAACTGTATAGGGCAGCTGCACACACAGACCTTGTTACATATCGGCAGTACCTTTTATTCAAATGTGATGCCAATTTTCTACGGATCTTCGGCTTGGGTTCCGCGTGAGAAAGCAGACTGTGCCAGCGGTGGGAACAGTGTGGCCTTGACGATGCGCGTCGGTGTGGGGATCACCGCTGGATATCTTCCCTCAGAGCGGTGGAGGTCCAACACCTTCACGAGGTGAACATCTCTTCTGTCCGCCGTAGGCCCGGCGCAAGCGCTCGGTGTCTAGGTGTGGTGCGGCGCTCTCAGCCGCCCGAGTCTGTAGCCCTGGCGCGGCCTCGCCGGACCCGTTCTGTGATGACGTCTCAGTGGCAGCTGGCGAGAGTCAGATAGGCCCCGTGCCGACTAAGCTTAACAGTGTTTATCAAACGGACTGCGCGCCGCGGCCGAGCTCGTCTTCCGCGGACGCCTGCCTTTTGGAGGTGTCGCCAACAGCACCGAGCCGCTGCAGCTCATTTGCCATGACTTGCGAAACCACAGACAAGAAAGCAAAGGTTGCGATTTTGGACCGATGATTCCAACCGACGGCAAATATACGGACCTGAATGGGATGTTCCAGGGGGAAATATGTTCAGAGTGGAACTTACCTCCACCGTTGCTTGGAAAATACGGGTCAAGCACACTGGAGTGTAGGAGATGTACCCAAATTATGTCTAAACAGTAGGTGACGGTACGATGGGCCCTGGCCCTGGTGTGCCGCAGTACGGTTTGTAATTTCCACGTTTTTCACGTTTTTTTTCCGCAAACTAACAAATATACGCCGAATCGTCCCCCTCTGCTAAGAAATTGGATAGCACCACCGATGGTAACTACGACTGCCTAGGCGGCGGGGTCCGATGGTGACACATGATCCACCGGTGACCCCCTCCGTGGCCCCATCGGCTCACTCTGCGGCCGTCCGCCCACAGAGCTCCTGACAGACAACCGCGGGCGTCCACGTGCGCGTGCGAGCCCCTCGGCTCGGGGCCCGCACACTGCACGTGCACTGTGCAGGACTGTGCACACGGAGGCGGGGAAATGGGGAGGGGGAGGGAGCGTCACGCTTCGGGCGCAGTGGCATTTCGACGTCGTGCGGTGACGTGTTCATACTACCGTGTTGGTCGCGCCCGGAAGCGGCGTGCGCCCGCAAGCGTGCGCGCCACTGACGGCTGTGGGCGGGCGCGGAACAGTTGGGACGCAGGCTCACGTTCATCTTAGCAGAGCTGCCTTGGACGCAGATTGTGGACTTACTCTTAACTGAGGAAGTCCTCAATCTGCATCTGCATACGCGCGAATTTTGGTTTTCCCCGTAAGGAAAACCGGAATTCGCGCGCGTGCAGGCCAAGACAGATCTTGGGTTACGACCAGTCAGTTCAGGGTAGTTCGATACATCTGACAGTTGGAATCTGAACTGTGAGAACTGGCCCGACCGCACTTACCATCACATGCGACGATTTTGGCACAAGCCTGGCCGCTTCATGCTTACAATGCCCAAGTCTTTGGCAGTTGGCGCTGCTCGTCCCTTACATCAGTCCGCTCTGTTCCGCGCCAAAGTCACGTCGTCCCACTTGGTACCGGCTGCTGACCTGCGCTTCTTGCAGACCATCACCGGTGTGTCCCCGGCCGGCGCCAACGTGGTGTTCTCGCCGTACTCGGTGGCGACGGCGCTCTCGCTGCTGCACGAGGCGGCCGACGGCGCGTCCCGGCGCGAGATCGGCCAGCTGCTCGGCCCGCGACCGGCGCCGGGCGCCGCAGACCAGCGTCGAGCAGCCGGGCGTTGACGCTGCGCCTCTTCACCGCCTTCTTCCACGACAGTCAGCTGGCCGTGCGGGCCGGCGTACCAGCGGGCCGTGCGGGCGTACGGCGCGCTGGTGGAGTCGCAGCCGTTCTCCACCAGCCCGGCCGCCGCCACCGGGCAGCATCAACAGACGCGTCGAGCAGGAGACCAGTGGGCAAGGTGAGTCCTGCCCGACTCTGCGGTCGGCCCGTGGCGGGCAGGGTCCGAACGCGTCACACCACACCCCACGGTCTGAAACAGGTCGTGTCTGAGGACTTGTTCACAGCCAGACCGTCCGTGGAGAACTTGTTCACAGCTAGAGCGTCTGTGGAGGACTTGTTCACGGCTAAATGTCTGTGGAGGACTTGTTCACGGCTAAAGCGTCCGTGGAGGCTGGTTCTGGGCGCGCGTGGGCAGTCGACATTTGACTTTTGGCATCAGTCGTTGAAGTATTCAAGGGCCACCCATCACTCACATAAGTACGCAGCCGCGTGTCAGGCCACACCATGGCATGCGTGGCACATGGTACAGCTCGCGTGCGCCTCCATGTGGCTGAGGTGCGCGGTCATTAGCATGCAGCGCTTCCCTGGCCGAAACCACGTGCCCTCGCCGCGGTCGAGTCCCAGCTGATCGGTTCGTCCACTCGATAGATCCGTGACCTGCTGCCGCCGGGCAACGCGCAGCTGGTGGCCGTGCTCGTCAGCGCCATCTACTTCCGGGCCGAGTGGCGCACGGCGCTCGATGCGCGCCGCACGCAGCCGGCGCCGTTCACGACAGCGGACGGCCGCCGCCAGACCGTCCAGATGATGGCCGGCGACGGCCAGTACGGCTACCTGCGTAGCGAGTCGGGCCGCTTCACCGCGATCGCCATGCCCTACAAGGTGGGCAGACCGACCCGGGCCGGACTGGTGGGGGAGGGTGTGTGGGGGGGGGGGGGAGGGCAAGACAGTCTGGCCCCTAGTGAGGTCGGTGGGTCAGACGGGGGCACACCCCAGTGGGTGTGCGACGAGGGCGCACCCAGCTGCACGGATTGGGTGTAGGGTGCTGTACTGAGGAACCGAAGGAGTGGAGTTTGTTTTGGGTGAAGAAATTCGGTAGCTGGGGTGTGCAAGATAGCTGCAACATGTTCACGTTTTATGCATGCGGGAGGACTACTGGAAACACGTATCGCGGCCTCTGACGGGAGGGGTTACGCTGGAGTGCACCTTGCGGGCATGGGCTGTGGGACAGACTGGGGGCACCAGTCTGTCCCGCAGCCCATGCCCAGGTGCCATGCCCACGTGCTATGCTGGGTTATCATAGAGTAGAATTAGCTTTGGTTGAGGAAGTCCATGTTTTTCGGCTCGTTTTCTTGTAGGTGCAAAATCTAGGGTTTGGCAGAAGGAAGCGTTTGCAAATGAGTCTAACAGCTTTTTATGCGGCGCTCACGAACTTGACCGCATCGGGGATGACAAGGTCGCGTGTCGTTGTGTTCGAGGGGCTGTTGCACACCCTTACGTCAATCACTTGCTCTCCACAGGACGAAAGGTACCAGATGATCCTCGTGTTGCCCGACCAGGGCGCCAGTGTAGGGGACACCCTCAATCAAGTCGACGCTGACGCAATGTACAAACAAATGCGCCATCAGGAGGTGGAGATAAAGTTTCCGAAGTTCCGTGTGCAGACCAAGTTGCAGCTGACGGACGTGCTGAAAAGGGTGAGCGCAAACCTGCTGCATCCTTCACATGAAGGCACGTGGGGACAGGTGAAGGATGGAATCGGCCACAGTAGGATGGAAGAGCAGTGTACGCAGCGTGGAACTGCCCCGCTCGGCAGATTATTCCAACCAACTCAAAGTCCCCAAATCTAGATTGTACCCTTTAATCTGTGTCGCGCAAAACCACGCTCATAATTGATAGAAAGCCCAATACAGTAGCTGGCGTGGTCGTCAGGTGCCCAGTTGTACTCGACTACGGAGGGGACGGGGGCGCCACGCGGTGGAAGCTCCATTGAAACCAAACACGTGCGTGGTCCCCCCTCCCCCACATCCGTCACCGCTGGCCAGGGTTTTCCAACCACCGAGGCGCACATGCACGACCAGCCGCGGGCCTGCGGCCGGGCGCGGGAAACCCGCCGTGCGGTTGCACTCGTGCTGGGCACCGGGCTAACTGCGTCGCGTCTGCCTCAACAGGTGGGAGTGCGCCAAGTGTTCACGTCGCTGGCGAACCTGCAGCGGATGTCGCCCGACCCGCGCCTCTACGTGAGTGATGCACGCCACAGCGCCATCATCGAGACGGACGAGCGCGGCAGCGAGGCGGCCGCCGCCACCTCGATCAGCATCAGCGCGCGCAGCTTCTTCACGGCGCCGACGCCGTCGTTCGTCGCCGACCGGCCGTTCCTCTTCTATGTGTATGACGTGACCTCGGCGAACGTGCTGTTCAGTGGCCAGGTGGCGGACGCGGCGGCGGCGCAGGCCGGCGCGGTCGGCGCGGCCGGCACGGCTGGCGCGCGGCCCGTCCTCCTGGCGGCCAACGGGGCGCGTCAGCGGGCCGCGCGCGGCCCGGTTCCAGCCGACGAGCCCGGTGCCGACGCTGGCGCAGGGCCGGTTTGCCGCGCAGGGTCAGTTCCGGCCGGCGGGCACGTCGCAAGGCCAGTTTCTGACGGGTCGCTCCGGGGCGGGCTCGTCCCGGCCCGTATTTCTGGCAGCCGGCTGGCCGCCCGGCCGCTTTGCCGACCCCACAACGCCCTTCCAGCGCCGCACGGTGGTACGCAAGGGGCCACCGGCCTCACAGCGGAGCAAGACGGGACGGCGGGCGTGGTCGGCCCGCCCGCCGCCGCAGCGGTCGCCCGGGTGGCGCCAGACGCCCCTTCAGCCCCCGCCGGGAACGCGCGGCGGACTGCCCGCCGCCCGCCGCCGGCCTGCCACGCAATGGATCTGGCCGCGGAGGACGTCACCACGCAAGACAGTCTGGGATCAGCGGATATACTTCCCGTACTGAGGCCGCCTCGGGTGAGAGTTAGCGCCTGGTAGCGGCAGTCAGGCGGCTGCAGGCACGCCTGACTGCCGCCACTACTGCACGCCTGACTGACTGACGTCTATTGGGCGATTCCGTCGTATGGGTCATCACAGGCTCACATGCAGGGGCGTAGTTTCTTAGTTAATTTGGGGATTGGGGAGCGATAGGCCCCAACTTTAATTAGGAAGATGCGGCAAGTTCCCCGTTTTGCTTTGGCTGTTTGAGGGTAGGCTTAGCCACTTCCGTGCTCGAGCCTCCCCCTCCATCTTGCTTTGCGAAGCTACGCCCCTGTTCACGTGGCAGCGGAGGTAGTTGCAGGCGCGCTCCGAGCATGCCCACATTTGGTGGCGACTCCCGCGTTGCCCACGTTTGGTGGCGACTCCCGCGTGCCCGGGGCATCGTGCGGCATCGGCATCGCATTCATCATCACTGCTTGGTGTGTCCATGTGACTGCATATGTGACTTGACACGTGGTCGTTGCCTTTAATCGCATTGGTTGCATAAAGCTGTAAATATGCAAGTGAATGCAACGAAATATAAGAACGTTTTTGAGGCGGGGTTGTTGAGTTCGCGTACCAGACTCGGAGATGGGCTCTTTGGAACTGTAAACGACGCTTGACGATTGGGACTTTTGGGCGAGCTTACTACTGGAGTATTTGTTCGCTTAAAGCAATTATTTCTACAAAACAGCAAATTCTGGAGGTCAGAGCATTCTGCCAGGAAAAAAATGGCAGGGCTGGCCTATTGAAAGCCAGCATGCGTCGTCTTTCACATCGGTCTCCCTGAACATCACGGCTGGCAACGACAAAGCACCTCGTCGGAAATAACGAAAACGTCCCTCTGCCAAACGACGTAGTTAGGCGAAACGGGCGCAATAAGCTGGTGCCGCGTATCTCTGCCCCACCGGCCTACGAACCGATGCCTTCACCCATTCCCTTCTGAATGACCTTGACAGATCCATTGTGCTCTGGTGGGAGCTACTGGGAATTAAGCGGCAATATCTGCCGGGAGTGTCGATGCCAGTCTATTTCGTTTCCAGGGTGACGAGCCGTCTATTGACGATCCTTTTCGGCCTGTTCCAGTACAATACAGAGATGCCCTCCGAACAGTTGTAGTTTTGGACTGATTGGCTTCCAGGTCACAGGAGTGACCGATGCGTTGACTGGTGGCACAACATTTGGCGTTACAGCCTCGCCTGCTGTCCAGCACAGATGACCGGACATACCAGAGGCGCGGGAGCTTACACGATACTGCTGAGATGACCGGACATACCAGGGGCATGTCGGCCAAAAGTGTCAGAGCCCAACTGCACTTAATGAAAACATACCGGTCAACACGATCCGGATCTGCACCTCTGGTAGCATACCAGCGATTGAAACTGAGCTCGAAGGGGATCACTAGGAAGCTCTGAAGCGCATAAAGGCTGGGGTTGCCCGGATTGAAAGTCGACCTTCACCTGGCCTTGCAAACCACACCGACGTCGCCCGCCCCGACCACAAGCTGCCGCCACGGCGATGAGTCGAGCCGACTTAGGAGTCTACCAATGCGGTGGGAAGGGGAGCAACAGACCCGCACCCGACGGCATGCTGCGGAGGGACCCCTTGCCGTACACCAGCCAGCGGCTCAGCCCGCTCTGCAAGGGTGTCGATTTCTCAAAATGATAAGGGAGGGGGGCGGGGCCTCGGAAGTCGCCATAAGGAACAGGTTCAAAAAACTTACCAGATTTCGCCTACTTATGCTCTGGTTTTCCATAACACACATACACACACCACACCCACCCACCCACCCACCCACCCACACACCCCCACACCCACAGCCACACCCACACACCCACACCCACACCCACACCCACACACCACACACACACACATATATATATATATATATATATATATATATATATGTTTAAATGTATATAAGTATATAAACCATATCAGTCGATATAATCGCATATTTGTAAAATTGAAGCTTTCTTGTGGCTGTTGCAACGTGGATCTCACGCCTGCGTAGTTCGGTTTTTGTAATACCGATAGACAGCAAGCATACTGCATGCATATTGCAATGCAGACATATGCATTTAGACACTATATATGCTCATCATGCTCAGACGACGGTCATCTGTGTCAGGCAAAACACTCAATGTTTCTGGTCTCTCCACCCTAATGGTAGCCGTCCGTACAGATGGAGGGCTCCACGTCCATACGTTCATTTATAAAAAGGGTCCTCTTGTGGGTGTGTATCGCTTCTAGAACGATGAGTCTCAGTCTTCTGATTAGTTTCTAGAGCGATGAGTCTTCGTTTCTATGTATTGCGTGCGATAGATGTTGTGTTGTTAAGCATTTGGCGTGTCAGTGGGTTTTGTATTGGGTCTCAGTGTGGGCGTGCGCGCGTGACTGCCGATTTGTTGGTGCATGGCCGGACGTCGAGAGCATCGCTGTTGTGAGGTCAATGTACACATTATCAGGTACGAGCGCACAGTCCCGTATGTTGCGTTTATGGTGACAATGATATTCCCTCCTTTGAATGGAGTCAAATCACATGGAGGGCTATTTTTCATGATCAGGGAGGATGTAGTTGGACTATGGTAACAGATGTTAAGTTTGATGCTATCATTGGGATCCTTCGTTGGCCAGTTGTGATGGGCAGTATTGTGCAGGGATTGTGGTCAGATTTGTAACCAGGGGACACCCATGTTTTTAAAGAACGGGGGTTCGTGTTCTGGTGTTGTTTTTGGTCTTGGATTTAGGTACCGTGACGTGTCCCGCTGATCTGATCTTCCACAGTACACGGGCCGTACCGCTGATCTGATCTTCCACAGTACACGGGCCGTAATCGTTGTCGGCTTCGTTTTGCTTGGCTTCATCTAAGCTCCTGGTTGAACAAAGGGCCATGACAAGCAATGTTTAAAGGTAAGGTGGATGCTGAGCCAATGCAACACTCGTTTCTTACCTGTCGGGACACATGCTCTCTCGTTCAGGCATTTGCCGACGTCAGTAGGCTTTTAGTGAACGCTGGATTGCAAAGGTTTTTTAACGGTTTCTACAATATCTGTTGCTATTAAGCTGGTTTACACGGTGGTTTCAGTACACCAAAGCTGCGTTGATAAAACGTATGCATTTCAGCTAATCTAAAACGAAACATACGCATTCCTCCACACATCAGTTCCGAAATGGTTCTCAGCCTTTCCCCAAATACGCTTAAGTAGATTCCCTCCTGTTCAGAACGGCTTTCCCTCACTCATTTGAACACATACGCATTGCAAGCTTTCTGTGCTTCAGGGGAACGCTGTTGCAAGCTTTTTTCTCTCTGAGGGGAAAACGACCACAAACCTGCTACAGTTCGAACGTTTGGCAAATGAAATGCCCGTAAGGTGAGTGGCATGTGCAACGCAGCTTGATTGTAAAAACGTTGCTAGTTCAGCTGGATCTTCCGTGACCATGCGGATTGTACTAATATACCCTTACTCTCGGTGCTCAATGGCCGGACCCCCGCAGGTGCAACAGCCACTCTTGGTAAGGGGAGGGCACAGGGTTGACAAAGGGCGGCCTTGTGGTGAAAGGTTCCTACCAAATAAATCCCAGATATGGCCCACTTGATTTCGGGGACACGATTTTCTTCTGATTTATGCCAATATTTACATTTTTCTTCCACAGAACTCACCAAGATATCGACACATAAATCCTTACTTGTATTTTGAAGTGAATAAACTAAAGGAACCAGTAGTCCAGTGATTGCATGGAATAAAACAGCCGACGCTGTGTTCCTCTTGCACTGATTAAGTAGACTCTTTCTAAGTCGATAGCATTCAGGGATGTGCCCGAATTGTCCTGGGTTGTAACCGTTGTACCTACAGAAACATGGTGAACGCAGATTTAGATCAAAGTTGGCTGATGAATTTGCATCGACATGGCCCAACCCATCTTCGCTTGGGAATGTTCATCCTTTGTTCAGAATCCGAGAAGTAGATAAATAACCTTAGACTTTTGGGGCAAGCGACCTTCTGATCAACACTTGAGGGCCCCGCCCGCAGGACGAGGGCCCTAACGTGAACTATCACCAATCACGGTGCCTTCCAATCCGGCCCTTGATCGTCGGTATCGCAGGTCACTTCGGGAACCTGTACGGTCCCTCTCGAACATTGCCCCCGGCAGATTCGGGCACCTTGCCAATACATGACCCTTGATAGGTACTGTGGGCCCTTGACCGACACAGAGGGTCTCTCACTGATTGAGGGCTCGCCCGGTGTCAATGGCGGGCCTGGCCTCTGTCCCTGCTCGGGAAATGGGCCCTGGAGTCTCAGACCTGAAGCTGAAGTAATCTGGTGGCGAATCCGTCGCGTGTCACGGACGTTAAGCCTCCACCACAGGGGTGGAACTGCGCAAAAATGGGCTTGGGGCTGGCGGGGAAAAACCTGGCCCTGAATACACTAACTGGCAGAATTTACCGCAGGATTTAACCAGTTTTCTCTCCGCGTTATGGGGCTGGGGCACCCCTACCCCCCCCCCCCCCCCTCCCTGTTCGTTTGGCGTCCATCGTCGAAACCAGGTTTCGGTAGTCGACGCAGGATTATGTGGCTTAAGACACGGGACGTGTAAAGCTTCGGGAGTAAAAAGTCCAAGTTTATGTGCGCGAGTACTAAAGCGTGACACGGAATCCCAGGCTGGTAGACGCAAAGCGGGCTGTAACTCAGCACCGCGTTGGCGTGTTCAACACAGCTGCCGTTATTTTGATGGTCAGTGGCGATCGATTGCCACCATCAGCTTAGTCGGATGGTATCGGTCGTCGGATTTTCTTATCAGTTTCATCGAATATTCACGCTAAGTGAAGCCCGGCACATTCTAAGGTTTCCTCCGGACGTAAACAGTTAATAACTTCACGTTATTGGATCTTAACGTTTAGACCTGTTCGTTTTCAGCCTCCGACAAGATGTGACAAAATAACGGAGCTTGCTGCAGTTCGCAGAAATTGAAACGCCACTGATCAATGCCAAACACTCGGGCAAACTGAACACAACTAGACCAAAGTCAACGAGCCATTCAACTGCGTAATTCTACCTATGCTTTATGCGCGACTCAAAAAGTAACTCGCTACAAACGCGGAGCTTTAGATGAGTGATTAGCCCCGTCAGCTGCACTTAGCTGAATATTACACCGAAGTGTTCACTTTCTTTGTTCATTTTACCTATGAAACAATTAGCAGAACCGTTCTTTACAACTTATTTCATTTCGATCACCGATTTTAATGTCCTGCTCGTTCTAAGTGCCATTGGGTTACCCACCATTGGAAAAATGGGGGGGGGGGGGCAAATCCGACATTGGAGGCCAGTGGCCCACTCAAAAGGATACACATGGACACCCGTGCCGCTCTGACGCGGCGGAGTGGCACGGGCCATTGCCAACGTGCATGTGCCGGAAAGCTATGCTAAATATGGGTGAGGTAGCCATGCGCTCCAATTCGCAGTTGGATGGCGGCGACATGAGATAACACGACATCCTGAGAAGCATCGGAGTGACACCGTTTTCGCATCCAGCCAGTTACACCACTGTCGCATCCAGCCACTTACGCCACTGTCGCATCCAAACGGTCAATGATAGTGCTGAGCCTTCCATGCCGACCTTGGGAGCCGACATCGTGGTGGCGATATCTGAGGCGGCAGTCCTGAGGCGGCTGTACGGCTGGTGCATAAGCCGCCCAGCCCTGACGGTTGAGATGGCATGCCGTCGGGTTGCCGAGCAAGGGTGCGTGCAGGGGTGCAGCCAGTCTTGATGAGGACGCGTGGAGCTTGACGCAGGGCCCCAATGAATCCCTTTCCAACAGCGACGAGTTCGGATTCACGTGCGCATAATTTTGCATGACTCCGTACCCATATGACCGGTTGGGGGTTGGCTGAGGGTCGTGCGTGTCGCTCACAGTGCCGCGGACGCGCATGTGACCAGAGCTGCCGATCCCACCAAAGACACTACAAAACTAAGTTGCATCGACATATGTATTGAAAAGCATTAATGGCTGACAAATGTGCGTACGCAACAAAGCATTTGCCTATTTAAAGCGCAGGCTGTCCGAAAAATTAGCAAACAAACGAGATGGGTCGTGCACGATCTCAACTCATGCAGCAATCGCAATGTTAGAGTTGAGAGAAGTTACCCACCAGTTCGAAGACACGGCGACCCTGTCACTGCCCGCGTCTCTCCACGTCACCCGAGGCCAATGAAAGCGTGAGCAGTACCAGTGCACCATGGCCAGTCATAACACCTGCCGAAGCCCCCCGCATCATGAGCCCGCCGGCTCGAGAGTCGACCGATAAGACGCAGATAGGACCGGTCCGAGTGACAGCGCTGTGCGCCACGGGCAGGCAGCGGCACCGACTCCGGGCGTCGCTGGGCGCCGCTCAGCGGCCACTGCGCTGGCGCAGCCCCGGCCGGCCGGCTTAGCGGAGCATTTGCGTCCTTCAACGTTACTGTCACTGGGGTGAGTAACTATACGGAACTGGGAACCATCAACTCTTGCGCAACGGCCGCTGAGCGCTGTCAGCGGAGCGATATCGGAGCCAAGGATCTGGACGAGCCAGCCTGACCAGCTTCGGAGCAGTGGCATGCAGCTGTCCGGGCCGGCGATGGAAGACGGGCCTTCATCACGGTCAAGTGCGACGAACTGAATGCAGAGCCCTTCGTACCAGCGTCGAAAGCACCATGGTTACACTCACGCCGACACCGGGCCCCAAACACGTCGCGTGCTGTACCTCACACTATACGTCTGTTGTCGGAGCCTCCATTCGGACAATGGTCGCTTAGGGAACTCACTGACGTTACGCTGCCCGTGTCGCGCTTTCCCGTGACACACACTGCGCACACCATACACACTGTCGTCTCCGGCCAAGTAAGCTCGAGGTTCCATAAAAGACAGACACGGCGAGAAATAACCGTCGCAACATAACACAGCTGACACGACTACGGATACCGCGATGGCAACGACAGAGGGTCATCAGATGCCTATCGACAATTTCACAGATTAGAGCACTCAAGCACACGATACGCAGGGAAAGGCCACGGATAGTGATCAATATCTCGGCAACAAGCCCTAATATACGATACATACCACAGCGCTAAGCCTGTTTTCATATCAAACAGGATGTGAAATAATCCAACACATCGGTGTCAACCAAGAAATCTTTCACAACCGCAATAACCTGATAGCTTATGCCACAAGCCGGCAAAAAAAAACGCCGCAAACAATCACCGATACCGTAGATGCACGAGTCCAATCGCGTATCCTGGATACCCTGCCAGACATCCTGCAGCCGTTGGCATCCAGCTGCCGACCCCGCAGCCACAACCGCTCGAGCATTAGCAAGTGATGGCCCTAACACAGCTCTACACATCAGCCGAAGGCCAACACTTACACGCTAAATGATCTAGAACGCGATCGGGCTCTATATGTACATGTGCCAACTGGAGCCACTCCCAAACTGAAGCTCCCCCCTACCCCAGTGCGAAGAAGACACATCTCACCAAGTCAACTGTCAACGTTACTTCAACCACGTTACGGACCAAGTTAGCCTAAAAACCTGATAATTAAAACTCAAGAACCCCGTACTGCTTGGTAATATTAGCTAAAAGCTTGCCGAATCAACTGCGTTAGCACTGTGAACTGGTATTAGATAGTGAATCAGTGTCAGCTGACCAGTCTATCAGTCAGCTGAGCAATCCACCAGTCAGCTGACCGGCCTGTCAGACCATCAGCGGGGTCGGCCAGCTGGCCAGCCTACCGGCCCACGCGGCGCCGGTCAGCGGGCGCCTGTCTCGCGCTGTTCGCGCAGCTGTCGGCGACGAAGTCGATCAGCTGGCTCTGGAAGCCTGGGTTGGGCCGCACGCGGCGCGTCTCGTTGACGAGCTGCAGCGCTTCGCTGAACGAGAGGCCCTGCCGCTCCATCAGGTAGGCGGTGACCAGCGCAGCAGAGCGCGACACGCCGGCGTTGCAGTGCACCAGGCAGAGGCCGCCGGCGCCGCGCGCCGCCTCGATGAAGTCGAAGGCGCAGGGAAGACGTTCGCCAGCGGCTGCTACGGCACGTCCAGCAGCGGCAGCGCCAGATAGGTCAGCTCCTGCGGGGAACAGGTCGCGCACGCCCGTGGCCACGTTCAGCACGTGCGTGACGCCGAGCTGGCGCAGCAGCGGCAGGTCTGTGCGCGACGTCCTGCGAGCCGAGGCAGAGCCAGGGCCGAGGCCGGCCCACCTGCAGGTCGGGCCGCGGGTTGACGACCGTAGCCGAGTGTGGCGCGGCCGGCCGCCGCTCCAGACGAACCGTCGAGGCCGCGGCGCTCCACGAACACGGCGCCGTCCTGGCGTGGTGACGCGACTACTCGGCGGGCCGCAGCCGGCCGCGCTGCAGCTCGAGCCGCGCGCGCAGCTCCATCCCTGGCGGACCGGCCGCGGCCGTCAGCGCGCCGCCGCCCCGGCACACATCTCACACTTTTGACACGCCGCACCCTCTCTCCCTTTCTCGGCACACATCTCACACTTTTGACACGCCGCACCTTCTCTCCCTTTCTCATTCACGTGTCTATCTCGCTTTTATCGTTCAATTTCACTTGTATCTACGCGTCTGTTAACTGGCTGCCTTTGTAATGATTTGGTTTGGATTGGAGCCTTTTCAGATATTCTTGGCAGTTTCTGGGCTATGGGACGTACAATGGATAGCGGTGGGGGAAAGGCTATGCGTGCTTGGGAGTTCCCCACCGAGACTTGGCCCGCACAAGGACCCGTCCGCAGAGCACGTGCGGACGCTCGGACGAGGGCCCCGCCAGTGGACACCAAAGCCAGCTAATGGCTGGTGTACGCGATCTGCCCCACATACACGGGGGTCGCGAGAATACGTGGTATCACCTGTTAACCACACCCGTGGTTGTCTAAATGGTTAATGGCTTACAAAACGGCTTGCTGGTTACACACCGAGTTTCACACTCCAAGACCTTGTATTCTTGCTAATGACTGCCCCATGCCTTATTGGTGATATATTTGGCTCAGCCGCTGGGCTAAAGGTTCTGCGGGCGTAAATAAAGTATATGAAGTTCGTTGACGCGATACTGTACAAAGTAATAAAAGATAGAATACTCTACGTGACTGTCTAGGCAATACTGAGGTCGAGCATCGAAGTCAAGCCAGCCCAGCTGACTTATGTCATGAACCAAAATGCCTGTTGTATGTCAGTGGTGGCTTAGACACATTTTCATGGCAATATTATAACAGATCAAACCGCGGAAATCGCCGAGGCCGTATAAAAAGCTGTTACCAGTGCGCCGGCATCATCCTCTTTCATTCTGGGTCATCCCAGGTCAATGTTCTGTTGGGTGACGGGATGGCATCTCGCTGCCTCTCGGGCGCCAGTATAGGCACAGCTCCACTTCAGCCGACTTCCCCCGGCAGACACGCAAAACCTTCAGAGATGGTCACAGCTCTGACCCCCGTTTCAGCTGTTGCCAGGCTAACCATGACAAGTAGCCTTAAATGATCTGGGTTAAATCAAGACGTGCAGGGCTGCCTCCCTGTCGTTCTATTTTTGCTCCAGGACAGCAGATGGTGGAAGTGACACCGGGGCATGCCGCTCCCCTCTCCCGGCGGCAATCACAGCGGAACCAACTGAAACGGCGAAGGCTGATGACATGATAGTAAAACCAGGTGTAACAAGCGACCAAAAGCAATCGGTGGTCGACCAAGTGTCATGTTTATTCCATGAAATCCCAACACGTATGGGACATACACAAAAACGGTAAGCGAAGGGCTCAGTACTACAACAGATTGTACCAAACATTGCGCAAGGTACAACACATCCAGCAGAGATATAAAAATACAAAGCGATAATAGCAAACACAAGGTTGCATCGACTGGGCAAAACTCACGACGCCTCGTTCAGATGACTAGTACATGAGAAAGGTGCTTACAAGATATGCTTGAACTAAAAATGTCAGGTTGCATATTTAACAACCCTGTCTATTCAACAAAACCTCATCCACAAATTGCCCTTCATTCTATGGCAACTGACAACGAAAGCACTTGCAGATACAAAAGGCGCACCCTGTTAAGAGCGCCACACAAAGCGAAAAAAACATGCTTAGGTGCCTAGTCTAGCACCATATACAAACACATCAAAGGTCAAGAGCCACGAGCTGCGGTTCCAGTACAGCTTGGCAAAGCAGACCCAGCCTCACTTGATCAAAATGACTAGATAAGAAGTTTGTAACCAATGATCACAATATGACATCTATTACATCCTGGTCCCGTCCTTCGAACGGAATAAATTACAAGCCATCGTAGAGATAGCAGTCAACCACTGTGCTAACCAAGCAAAACGAGGTTTTTGTGATACATATCACTCTCATTCATATGGTGCCAACGCAAACACTGAGGTGCGATTACATGGACTACGCTTGCAGTTTCTGTGATCCGCAGCAGTACCATCTCGGACAGACTACACCAATAGATGGCCACGCTTACTAAGCGCGCACACAGTGTCCGAAGATGTTGATCGACCATCCAGCAAGCCGTCGGACATTCGCTCTATCCCAAAGTTGCGAGCACTACCGGGCGAGCTGCGAGCTGCAGCAGCAGTGAATCAAAGTCAGGGCGCGGTGGCTGATTCCGTGCCAGCACCAGGAGGGAGCCGGGGCCAGGGGGGAGGGGGGGGGGGGGGACACCGGCACAGACTGGGAAAACACAGGCGATGGGAAACACGACGCCATGAAGTCGCCTAACGAAATATTGGGCCACAAGCCGTCGCCATGAGCAAAAAGAAGGGCATGGGACGGCCCCAGGCGCGTGGTACATGTCACGCGCGCCTTCGGAAGGACGCAGAGGTCTCACAGCACCAATGGACGGACGCGCTCAATACGTTCAGATAAGGACAACTCTGAGGCAAACAGCACAAAGCACACTCGTGGAAACAAGGGAATGCGTAAGGATCGGGATGAACGGTCATGTTTGGTAGGATGGTTCGGGACGAACGGTTATGTTTGGTAGGAAGGTTCAGGACGAACGGTTATGTTTGGTAGGAAGGATCGGTACGAACGGTATGTTTGGTAGGAAGGATCGGGACAAACGGTTATGTTTGGTGGGAAGGTTCGGGACGAACGGTTATGTTTGGTAGGAAGAGAAACGGGACGAACGGTTATGTTTGGTAGGAAGGATCGGGACGAACGGTCATGTTTGGTAGGAAAGATCGGGATGGACGGTTATGTTTGGTAGGAAGGTTCGGGACGAACGGTTATGTTTGGTAGGAGGGTTCCGGAACACGGCACGTCCGGGTCGCTGGCCAGAGGGCTGATACGGCGTGTGCCAGAACGGTCCTCGAGGATGGCCAGGAGGATCCGGAGGACGTCTTTCGGAGGAGGGCGGTGAGAGAGACGACGACGAAACGGTCCAGGAGAATGCCGACCGCCGTCGGTTTCCGCGCCCGCTAGGACTAGATAGGAGACGACCGCCTTCCTGAGACAGTTTTCAGGGCCGGACGACCACAGCTCCGCCTGTTACAGGGAGAGAGGGAGGAAACAACACAGCTCCGCCTGCTACAAGGAGAGAGAGAGAGAGTGAGAGAGAGCGAGAGGAAACAATGCATGAGAGGGCGATCTCCCAGGACGGCCAGGGTGTCCGAGCGGACGGGGAGTCAAGGTGGACGGAGCGCCTGGACCAACAGGGTGTCATGGCTGACAACAGGCTGTCCGGGTCCGGCCGTCCATAAGACGGCTGGACGGACGGAGAGGGCGCACAGGCGGACACGGGGTTGCCAGGACGACAGCCACCGCACCCGGGAAAGGGACGGCGCCGAGGGCGGTCACAGTGGCCGACACCAGGCGAGCGGCCGACCCAGCCGGCCGCGCAGGCCGCCGTCCCGCTTGGTGGCCGACAGCGTGACGGCGTCGCCGATAGGTCGGCCCGCGTCATCGGCCACCAGCTCGGCGGCCACGCTGGCGTCGAATGTCAGCGCCGCCACGCGGCAGAAGAGCGCGTCCACCTGCAGGCCGGCGCGCGCCGAGACGGTCCACAGCTCGGCGCCCAGCGTGGTGGCCATGCCGGCGGCCAGCTCCAGCACCTGCGCCAGCGCCGGCGGCGTCACCAGGTCGCGCTTCGTGCCCACCAGGAAGAGCAGCGGCGGGCTGGCGGCCGGGTTAGCCTCGAGCACGTCGTGGCACCACTGGGCGGTGTGGGAGAGCGACATGAGGTCAGTCAGGTCGAAGCAGAGGAGGGCGGGCGCGCGCCGCGGTAGTAGGCGGCCGCGATCGAGCGGAACCGCTCCTGGCCGGCCGTGTCCCACACCTGCAGACTGAACGGCACGCCCAGCACGTCGAAGCGCTCCACCTCGAAGTCGACGCCCACGGTGGCCTTGTAGTTGTGGTCGAACACCTGGTGGCAAAAGCGGTTCACCAGCGACGTCTTGCCGACGCCGGCGTCGCCCAGCACGATCGCCTTGGAGATCTTGAGGCCGCGCCGCAGGCGAGCGTCGCGCAGACAGGCATCCTTGACGCGCGGGTCGAAGTCGCGCCGGTGGCGGGTGGCGCCGGTCGGTGGCGGCGGCGGCAGGTGTGCCAGCCGTCGGTCCAGCTCAGCCGGCTCTCGCTCCCGCTCCCGCCGTGCGGCCGCCCCGGCGTTCACCATGATCGGCGCTGATGGCTGCGAACGCGCCACAGACGCCGCGTCTCACACGATGCCCACCAGACATCGGCTGCTGTCAGCGTGGCCCCAGTATGTGCCGTCAGTGCCGGCTTTCAGGAGAGAGGAGAGCCAAAGATTCGGCTGACTAGTCATATAAATAATAGTATTGACATCAATGACAGGAAAGTCCCAAATTATGACAAAGAGACATGCTCACTATTTCCTCAATGACAACATCAAAGCTCCTTTCCAAAACGAACATTTGCCTTAGTTATAAGCTAAGGTAAATGTCAAGAGTTAAAAAAGAGCTTCAGACTGCCAACAACTATGCGGTCTTGCGATTGATCACGAAACATGAAAAAAGCAAGAATTATTGTAGACTCCAAAATAAAAGCATGGCAATTTGATCGTGCAGAATGATAAAACAACTCCAATTTGGAATTTCTTTCATACCAGCTCAGCAGACATGGGGACGGAGCCGGCTTCCGTTTCGGCGCCGCGAAGCCGCAGTTCTCCGATGACATGTGATCGGGCTTTGGCTTTGAGTCATTTTCCACGGCTAGATCCCGCTTCGGCTTAATGCATTTCAAACTGTTGGCCTCCACTTTGTTTCCGTGCCATCTTAACAGCTGGCTTCGGGTGGGTTTTTGAACAAGTTTTGAATAACGACTCCTGCTGCAGTTCCGTGCAATCTTGGCGACTGACTTCCGCTTTGTCAAGCTGATTTTTTTTATTGCGGTGGCTGCTTATTTCATTGAACAGCCTTGCCCAATCCGCCATCCCATTATCCACACAACTTTCAAAGCTGCGATGCATACCCGTACATGGCTAAAAGCCAAAACCGGCCAGACATTCTCAGGACAAAAACACCAGATGACTGGTAGATAACCAAGAATGGCTCCCCGAAATGTTGTGTACATTCCATCACGTAAGCCAATACACGAAAAAGGTTACACCTGTACTGGTATCAGCAGCTAATCATTCCGCAAACCCCTTGCGACATTTCCTGACTGCGCACAGTTGAGGCAGACACAAAGATGATTTGGGTTCCGCAAAAAACGATGTTGTATGCTACAGTGGGGTTCTGCCTTGGGATTTTAAACTGATTTGTTTGGTTTTAGCATCATCTTTCCTAGGTTCAAAGCTGCTGGTTTTGGTTTTATGTGTGCAGATTCAAAGGCACTGGCTTTGGCATGCAGCTCTCAGTTTTGAGGCTACCAGCCTCCACCTCAAATTCAGCTTTGAAGCCAGATGAAGCCTTGCTTCATCCCCATGCTGCTCATCAGGAAACCAATGTCACACTTAGCTCCTTGTGGAGTGTGGAGTAATTCTGGAATTTACTCTGGACAATTTCACATCAGTTGCAAAAGAGTGAACTGCATTGAAAACTTGTACATGTCAGAGCTGAAAATAAGTGATGCTTTGTCTTGAATCAGTGATAAGTTAGCATGAATTGAAGTACAAGTGATGACTGTACCCCCCTCTCTCCCCAATTCTCTGACCATTCTTATGAAAAAATGAATTAAATGCACCAACTATGCAGCATGAACATTGTCCTCTTCTTGACTAATCATGCATCATACACCATTTGCTCAAGGGGCATTCAATTTCCTTGTATTTTTGACATGTTGTTATACCAGAGGCTTACAATTTGGTCAGTAATATCATTTTTCTCAAAATCAAAACAGCTCAGAATGTCCATTTGAAGTAGGCCACCCAGTGGGAAAAACCTTCTCTGAATCCCTCCTTGTGGCTTTGAAAGCAGTTCATTCAATTTGTCTTGCTTTTCTAACATGTGTATTCTGTTATGTTGGCAACACACTTATACACCTAAATGTGTGTTAACTATTACAAAAGCTTCATACACTCTGTTCACACAAAAATGCCTGCAAACATGAAGCTATTATCCCACAAAAACAATGGAATGCTATACTGCAGCTTTGATTTCTCCCCTACCATTCTCACCACAGTGGCTCTTTTCAATTTCACTGCCTCTTTGCATCTGGGAATAGGAGCATCACATGATGTATGTGACCCACTTGTTCAAACTTAAACCAATGCACTTCTTGGTAGCAGGCCCTTGCCACCTGGCCCAATTACAAACCATCTTTTATTTCCACCAGTAGAGGTGGGCACAGTGATCATCATGACAGCTGTGCAACTGCAGAGAAGATGCATAGTGCTATTACAAAGAGTCGACAGCATAATTCAGACTAAAAAATAAATACATTGATATATTTATTACGCACTAACTGTGCTGCGCCAGCACCACCAAGTGCTTTTATTAGCCCTGAGGTTTCACTGTAGTATGTCTTTGAAACATGCCCAAAAGATGGGATACTCCCTTTAAAGCCTTGTGTGTAAATAATTCGGAAGCCCTCTATCGGAAAAAACACCTGTATCTTGCAACCTCTCGACACCAGAATGAATGTCAGAGCCATTCCAGTGCTAACCATTTTCCACTGGATCAAGTCAGTTAAAAAAAGAATCACCATGCCCTTGAAATAAGTTGGAATTGACCTCAAGTGCTATGAGCCAGACAGACTTGATTTCATGAGGGCTGAATCAAGCTAAAGTTAGGAAGAAACACCAGGGCTGTGGGTTGCCATCCAGCCAGGGGGACTCCAGCCCCCAAGGCATTGAGAGGTAAGCTGGTCAAATACAGGAAGACATGTTTTGGCATATTTGAGAGGTCAGCAGGCTTAGCCATTCTTACCACTAATTGCTGCACCGTGTTGCCAGCATGCGCACCTCGCCCAATCCACAGCTAACCTGTATATTACATTGGGCATGCAATTGATATTGGTGAGCTGTAACTGGCACATTGGTGTTTCAAGCAAAATTTAGGCTAGCATATCTAAGAGCCATGCAAACTCTGTTATCCCCTGGAGCTTGTATTTCTTATGACCTATATGTTCCAGGCTCAAAATGCTTAACACTTAAATAACTTCCATCTTGATATGGCATCGAGGAGGTGGTTTCGGCCGCGCGATAACGAACACCGCATACTCATTACATTCTGGAACAAAACCATCAAAAAGGTTTGGACAAAGCCATCTGTCCCATTTGCATATGGTCGAAGCTGCGCACATCATTTCCTGCGTGTCATGATTCTATCTACCGCACTTTGTACACTGCAACGCATTGCACGCATTCTAGAAAATCCCCAAAAATACGACCTACCTTCAACCAAATCCAGCGTTCCGTAACACGACTGGATTTCTCCCCCGCAGTCACCAAAGGCAACTTCAGCCCGGCCGCCTGATGAGACAGCGACCTCTCCTTGTTTAGATGCGACCTCGACCATCGGTTGTGATTTGTTTACGTCGGAATGCGAAGTGGAGTACATGCTCGAGGTAACCGATGAGCCAAATATCTGGCTTCAATTTGGCCCTACGATTGGTTTTTCATTTTGGAGTGTGATATATGATTGGCCAAAAGCAGAAAATCACCCATATCATGAAGTGAACTGTACACGACCCGTACTTACTTCATGCAGCTTGAGACCTTTGCAGCAAAAAGGTTCTAATGACAGTAAATAGCATGCATATTCTGTTAGCGCCTTTTCACCTCTTTCCAAAGCAGTTGACGAAGTTACGTTGCACGACAAACAATATCGATGATTGATGTAAAAGTTTTTTTCTTTCTCAGAATTGTCAGTGAAGTCTGACTTTTTGCATTACTAGAGCTCAAATCAAGTGTATGGCTTTAAGTCAGTTCGTTCAACAATTCCATCACTAATTGCTCTGCCATCTTGGCTGAATAGCGTGTTCTTTGCGCGGAAATACATCCTCTTCTGCTGTAATACGGAGTCTCGGGGATATCAGGTGATGCACGTGTTTACACTGCAGTTAAATACATCATATTTTATATATTTTGTGATGATGTGCAAGCAGAACATTACTAACACATGCAGTTGACGTAAACGGCTCCGCACGCGTCGCGAACGTATATGTGAGCTTTGTTTCGCTGGCTTGCGTGAGTTGCTAGGCGGGCGCCTGGCCGCTTGGAGGTCGTAAGGGTAATTATTGACATTTTATGTCAGCTACAGCCGATGGGCTTTTGCTTTATATTTTTTTCTGGTACTCGCTTGCAAAATGACATCGTTATTTATGTGGTTGTCACGCTCATTGTCTATCACAACATCTGTCTTACTTAAGATAAACAATGTACCAAACAGCTGAGTGGGACAGCATGCACATCATGCTCACAATGGGTGCATTTCAAATGCACAAAAAGTTATTCATTTCATGTGCTGTCATGTAGAGTAAGCTGCAAGTGTTTACCACTTCATGACATATTTTTTGTGGTCTGTGGATTCTTGATGGCTTTAAAAAAAGGGAGGTTTTGGTCACTTTTCTGTTGATACACAAAGGTTCAGAATATCTGGGGTATTATGTCATGAATGACATCAGCAAGATAGATTTTTTTGTCATCCCAGGTGCAGTGAATACTCCCTAGATCACATGCACATCTTAGTTCACCAGTTACATGTCAGACTGTTGGTTTGTGGCAAGCAACAGCACTCAATTTCATCAATAACAACATTCAGCAACATCATTTAAGAACACTCCTGAAGCTTTCATGGGCATACACTGAGTTAGAAAAACAGCCAGGAAAAGATTGTTAATGCAGAGATGGTTGCTGTATTTAATCTCAGAAGATCAGTACTGAGAAGAAAACTATCTTAACACATATATTGCACATGTTTGCATATACTGGTGCTGGGGTGTATGTTATAAAACATTGATATGTAATGAAACAAACATTCTGTGGATTTCTTTTATTCTGATTCAAGATGACTATTGCAGTTGGTACATATAGCCCAAATTGTCTTCATGAGCATCTATTTATCTCACTGTGCCTACAGAATGCAGGTTTTTGTGAGAGGTTATGGCTTGTTAATTTTTCCTGCACAGGTGTCACTGTTATCAGCAACACCTTGATGTTGGAAGTGTATTTTTCTGTCTGGTTTGCAGTAGTCTTTTCTTTGTGTGAAATGTTCTTATTGTATTTGTCTTTTCATTTTCAGCACTTAGGATGTGATGCTCTTGAAATCTGTTAGCACCATTTTACTTCATATAAATTATGCTTTAGTTGAACTGCATAGTTACTGGGATCACAGCATGTGCTAAAGCCACGCTCCATTGCACTGCTGTCCTCGAAGCATTTGTTCAAGATGGGTGAAAAAATTGAATAATAAGTAAAGTGATGTAAAGTAAGATCCATTGATTGCATCTTCATGGAGTGGCATGTTACCCCCCCCCCCCCCCATATGATGAATTCAGAGGTTCTAAGCCCAAGTCACTGTCATGACTCAGAGCCCAGCCAGGTTAGCCCACAGGGTCAGCACCGTGACCTCAGGTTGACATGTTTGCTGCTGTGGTGACATGGTGTGGTACTCCCTGTCCATTTGGTGAATGTAGAGGTCCCAACCCAAAGTCCCTGCATGACGTGGAGCCGAGCCAGGTCAGCTCACACAGTCTGCATTGTGACCTCAGGTTGACACATTTGTTGCTGCAATGACGGAGACGACGCTGAAGTTCGGTCCGGAGTGGTTGCGAGCCCTGTCTCATGGCAGCGGGAGCAGTGGTGGCGGCGGCAGCGGCACTGCCACAGGGCTCGGCTCACCGCCAGCCAGCCCCAGCACCACTCTCCCCAGTTACAAGATGGCCGAACACCGGTGGGTGCTGCAGCTGGGGTGTGATGATGCTGCTTCGGAACAAACAGCTGTGCTGGGTGGCAGGGTTGTGATGTACACTGCTGGGGGACCACTTAAGGCCAAACCGATTCATCTCAGAATAGTTCCTGGTGATAGCTTCATGACCTACACATCTGTGGGAGTGGTATCATCAAGTTCAGGGGAATGCATGCTTGTTGGAAGTTTTTTATGTACATGCTGAACATCCCAGGTTAGTAGTTTGATAACAGCTTAAAGCAGTTTGCGTCATGTGTTACGGGCCAGGAAATACTGCACATCCATGTTTCCATGGTATCAGTTGCAATGTTTTCCATGCTCCTGTTAGCTTCACAGCTTAACCTGTTATGATCTTACCCTTAAATGCATGATTTGGGAGGTAAGAAGCTATGACTGTGGTTTTGAAAAAGATGTAGACTTCACGAGTGCCACTAGGTCTTTTACTGACCTATGGACATATTTTGGCAAAACAAGGGAGGGGAGAACGGTGAAAGATGAAGAACCATACACAAAAATATGCCAACAAATCGGTTTCATCCTGAATTTGATACACTTTCTTATTGAAACTGGGTGGGTACCCATGTGGAATGTTTTTGCCAGTGTGGTATCACCTGCTTTGAGCAGAATGTTTGCATTGAAACTCTATTTTTTCTGTTTTTCGAATTTTGATGATGGCTATGAACCAATAGCTTTGAATGTCATGCTGTTCGCTGAACTCTAACTGTAAATAGAGGGCCTAACTACTGGGCGATTCCATGCTACGATATGGTGAGTACCAACCAAATATCGAACACTGGGCTGTTTGGGCTCATGAATTACGCTTAAGCTGAAGTAGCATTTCATGAATGCTCATGAATTACGCTTAAGCTGAAGTGCCATCAAAGTTTGTTTCATTGGTGTTATAACAATAGTTATTTCCAGCGACCGAAGAATCTTTCGGGGGAATTATGTTTGTTTGTGCCCTTAAGAAATGGTTGCAATCGATATAATTGTAAGTGGAAGATTGCCCTCCTATTGCTCTTATGCTCATGCAAGATCATGCCACGTAGCAGGGTAAACGTCACATTGATCACTCTACTACTGCGTCCACAGTGTGCCCCGGTAGTTTTTTTCCACCAAAAGCAAACACAGTGTTTGCTTTTGGTGGAATACTACGCCACTCACATTGCTCAACATTACGAGTGAGGTTGTTGCCTGTTGACGGGCAGGCTGTGCTTTGCGAACATCAGATGTTGGACTTAACATGTGTGCTTCTTATGTTAATTAACACAATTGTGTGTAAAATGGGACTTCAGTAATCGGCATACCCAAAAAGCCCCATAAACAAGGACAGTTAGTGCGAAGCGAAGCAGTACAGAATGGGGTGTATTATGTCACGGTACCGCAGGTGTGCAACTGAACTAGTGTGCACGTGTTTCTACCAAAAAAAAGCAATGTGATCCCTAAAAATCCTACGTCCGTGTAGCTCTGATCGAGCTGGGGATCGCTTTGCAAACCACTTTGTAAACATATGAGAGATGAGCGCAGTAGCTCGTCACGTGATTGGGTGTTCGGTGATGCTTCATCACTAGTTGCAGTCGATGCTCGTAAAATCTTCAGTGTCCTGGTGAAGGCAGTGTTAGGGTTCAGGGTCGGCTTTTTAAAGGAAAAGTCTCATATGATCATCAGCGGGTGGCTACTGTGAGCCCATCCCTTGTTAAACAAGACGCAGGTTTTCAGTGGCCTCGTGATATGCTAGGTCGCACGGTCCGGTGAGTATTTGGTGAAAACGAAGGAGAAAAACGGGAAAGGCGTATTTACCGTTATGACTGCCTTTGCACTACACATTGACCGCCAAAGAACACGGGCACGGCGACCGCCAGTAGCCATGGCGTTGTGTCACGGGACATGCCCCCCCCCCCTCCCCTCCCCTCCGTCAGCTCTAAGGAGCCAGTGGGCGTACACTAGATATGGAACGATGTCGTGGGACTCCGTCGATTCGCAGGAGTCCAGACAAAACGCGACGTTTACCCCCTCCGTGAAAAGCATTGTGGCCGCGTGTTGGTAGTTTGAGCCTGACGGAAATGCCCAAGGCTACGGTGTCACGTTGCGATGATCGAGCCCCGAACGGCAATGCCAGGATCATGGTACGGATAACACCACGAATTTATTCCACCCAAGTCAAAGGAACGGGCGCTAATTTTCCATTTCATCCATGGATTTGTGGTTGAAGGCCCAGCGTTCCAAGCTGCCAATTGGCGCTCCAAGTCCGCAGAAGTCCCACGGCGTCGTAGCAAATGATATGAAGCGAATGTCTTGCGTCCGTGCTGTTTTTCTCCCAGTGATTGTGGCGTCCCCGGATCAGGATGATCGGTTTGTCTTAATTGAGCAATTGCATGAGCCTTTTAGTTTGAGTGCTATATATGTTTATCCCCAAAAATTATTGAAAAACACATGGCTTTCGACAACGTAGTGGACCTCACTTAGTTTTACTGAGTTCTACAGGTCAAGATTATGACAAAAAATGGCCCCGGCACATAAACCTGAACCGGAAGTTGGAATACTGCCTCGTTCCCCACTCTACGTGGTCGGGTATGAATCGGCAAGGCCTGCGAGGCCCGATCACTGGCCGCAGAGCACTCCGAGTTCTGCTCTAGGCCCTCAAGAAGCGCAGCGGAGGGCGGAGCAGCATTGGCGGCGTGACAGGCGTCGATGGCAGGCCCTCTGTTGTCAGGTACGACCGAGAGGAGATGCTGGCGCTGTACGAGAAGGGCATTCTGGCACCGGACGAGATGTCGCAGGACGACGCCGTCTTCGTCGACAAGTGCCAGCCGCCAGTGGCCTTCAGTAACGTGACCGAAGAGGAAAAGGTGAGACGCTCGAGTCATCAGAGACGGCGGGACGAACTGTCATCAGACTCGGCGGGAGGAACTGTCGCTAGAGGGTGGGACGAGCTGTCGTCAGAGACGGCGTGACGAGCTGTCTTCGAGACGGCGGGACAAACTGTCGTCAGAGACACTGGGACGAAGTGTCGTCAGAGACGGTGGCACAAATTGTTGACAGAGACGGCGGGACGGGCTGTCGGACCTGGTCGCTCTCCTCAGGTGCCGGGATTTTATTTGACAGCAGTACGTGGCGGATGGGCGCCTTGGTGTGGGGCGCTCGTCATGCTACGCTCTGCCGCAGTGTCTGGTACTCTGGTCTGGCCAGCTGACATCGCTGCCCGTGTCGGCCGCCGGTGCTGTCTGGAGTCGCCGCACGTGACCGCTCCGCCAGGAACTCCCGCTGTCTGAACTCCGCGGTGTTCGTGCGTGGCTCAGCAGCGTTTGCGCGTCTGTTTGCGCGGGGGCGGCGCCCCGTTGGGCGGGAGGGCGTGTTAGCAGACGCCTGGCGCCGCGCCCCGCGGTCGCGTGACCGCCGGCGACTGACACCGCCCGGCCGTCAGATGGCCTGGCATTCGGGCGTCAACAGCGAGGCGGTGCTGCGGCTGACAGGCCGCGGCGGCGGGCCGGCGGCGCGCGGCCGGGGCGGCTCCATGGACCGCGGGAGGGGCCGCGGGCGAGGCTTCGGCTTCCGCCGGCTACGACGACGGCGACGACGTGGGCTTCGGTCGCCGCGACCCGGGTCCGCCCGGCTATCTGCGCGGCAAGTCGTTCGAGCGTTCCCACGTGAGTCGGCCGTCCTCCGCCGGTTCGCCTCCGATCTGGCGGGCCGCTGTTGTGGCGCACGCCCACCGGCTGCCCGCCGTGGCTCTAACGAAGCTGAGTCGGGGGTCAGCTGTGCACGTTTGGGGGTCGTTTGTTCTTGGCGAGGATCATACGTTTACAAAAGTCATTCGATGTGTGGATGGTCCTCCAGTTGGATCTTGATCATGCCATGTATGGTTTTCTGACCCAGCTGGAACTCCCTCCCCCGGCTTGTCTGCGTATGCCGGACCGTCCCTGCCAACCTGGGCGTGCTGACCCGTCCGTGCGGGGTTATCTGTGCCGACCTGTGCTGACCTTTTCGTGTGCCCTGTTCCTGCTGACCTGCCAGTGCGCTGTCGTCTGTTGTGACCTGCCACGGCCTGGCCGTGCTGACCCGTCCGCCGCGGCCGCAGAGTATGCACGAGGGCGCAGACCGACCCAGCTGGGGCGACCGGAACGGGCTGGACAGCGTCTCGCCGCGTAAGGAGATGGGCCGCAGCTCGACGTCGGACAACTGGCGCAGCCGGGAGCCGGCGGGCGCCGACGACCGGTGGCGCGTCAAGGTGCCGCCGCGGCCGGCCGACAAGTGGGGTGAGTCGCTGCCGCCGTCGCCGCCGCCCGGCCACTGCCGGGGGCCGAGAAAGTAGGGACGTTATGCGAGGCGGGTGATGGCTTGTGGTCGGGTACGGCCTCTGGCTGGGAATTATTTTGGCGAAGTTCCCTGAGCCATAGTCAAGCAGGCATGATGAGATTCAGGCATGATTCGTGACGGGAGTGTCGCACGGCCAGTCAATGTATCCTAGCACCCCCCCCCCCCTCCCCCCTGCGGTTTGACAGCACATGTTCCTGGTAGCATAACCTTAAGAAGGTTTGATCTTGAGACGGCCCAAAATATCCCGGACGATGCCAGTCGCCTGCGCGCCAGTGTCCACGAAGCGTCCGACTGCAGGGCGTATCCGCTCAGTACTCAGTCCCCGCCCCCTGAAGCCCTACTGCTATGTGACGACACTCGTGACCGGACGACGTCCAGTGTCCAGTGTCCACGGGGCGCCCGACGGCAGGGCGTACGCGCTCAGTACTCGGTTCTCGCCTGCTGAAGCCCTACTGCTCTGTGACGACGCCCGTGACCGGGTGGCGCGGGCTGTGCGGTGACGCCGGCCCACTTCGCCGTCCGCAGGCGCGCCGCGGCCGGCCGGCGGCGGCAGCTGGAGGGGCGACGCCGGCCTGGGGGCGCCTGGTCAGCGTCGCCGGCCCGGCGACGACGACCGGCGCCGTGACGGCCGCGAGGAGCTGCCCGAGTGGTGAGCGGGGCGGCGGCTGGCTCCGGTCACGGCCGCGGCCGCGCGCCGCCTGTCCGCCGCCGGCGGCCGGCGCGCGCTTGAGATTTGGTGTGGTGATCAAACGCGAGGCGGGGCGCAAGGCTGCCGCCGCGGACACGGCGCGACGAGGCGGAGACTCGCCGTCGGTGGTTCCTGGTGCCGCACCCGCGCCCATGATACTGGAGACGGAGGTACCGATGTTGTAGTGGTTAACGGATCTGTGTTAACCATTACACGTCTGGGAAACCAGAGGCACGGGATTCGATTCACCGCGATGCCTGCCGTTCCTGCTGGGGTGGGAGGTAGGCGACTCCATATAGCCACAACAGTTAAGTGCGTCGTGAAGTACCAATGGCGGCAACGATGCTGGAGGCATGCCGGGTCGGCCCAAGAGCGCCGGTGGTCGGCGGTTGGCACTTGGAGTTCGCCTGTCCTCTGACCGAGTCCGTCCGACTGTGCCCCACTGACTGGCCTCTCCCGCGGCACAGGGCGACCGAATCGGGCGGCGCCGGCGGCAGCTTCGACTCGACAGGCGCCTTCCACGGCGACTGGGGCGACGAGGGCCTCGGCTCCCGCGAGGTCAGCCGCGCGACCAGGCCGGGCCGCACTCCCGACTCTGTGGTCCGCTGCCGCCGCGGTCTGGAGCTGTCACTGCTGACGTTCTGAGCCCTGGTGTGACCGTCGGCACGCTGTTTTGAGTGTGCCTGCGAGATCTCTGGTGGAGATGTGTCACTGCCAGGTCTCGGTCTTGGAGTCATTCCCGTCGGGCGGCTGCTCTTCTCTGTTCTTGAGTCGTCACTGCCAGACCCCTGCTCGGAGTGATCCCGTTCATGCCTGCGTTTGGGCTCGCCGCTGCTGTCCCGTCAGTGTGCGTCGGACTCGTCACCGTCCGCACTTTGCTCGAGTCCGCTGCGTGCCGACCCGCTGTTCTGGGCTGACCCCTGCCAAGCCTCTTCTGGGCTCGTCATTGCCCGATCTGTGTTGTGTGCTGGTGCTTGCGGGTGCCCCGCGCCGGTGCGCGGCTGATGGATGCTCCGTGTGGCTGCAGGGCTCGGAGGAGAAGACGGCTGAGACGGAGCGGGCCCGACCGGAGCCGAACGGTCCGCCGGGCCGCGCCGCTGAGACAGGTGCGCACCCGGCGCGGCGGCGGTCGGCCGCTCCCGGACGCCCCGGTGCACCGGCCTGTCGCGCACTCCGGGCCGCCTGCACAGATGTGTCGTTGCCTATGATGTGCGCTTGTGGTCCGGCGTTTGTGTTGGTCATTGTCGAGTCGCTGCGATGCCGCGGCTGTGACTGCGTGGCTGGGTGGCCCGCTGTGGCCGCCCAGTCCCAGTCGCCGGGGCTTTTGCCGACTCCCCGGGTCCATCGCGCAGCCCGACGCCGCTGAAGGGGTCCGCCCGCGGTGTCACTGTGTCAGCAAGGGCTGCGTTTATCTAGCGACTTGTTGACGACGCCGGCTTGGTTGTGTATTGTTCGTCGGCTCAGAGGCGGCCGTCTAACCGGCGGCCGTCGTCGGCAGAGCCGGAGCGAGTCGCTGAGGAGCGGGCACCGCCGTCGCCGACCAAGGCGGCGCCGGAGGAGCGGCCGCGCCCGCTGGAGCCGGCGGCGCCGCCCTGCCGCGAGGCGGCCAGCATGCAGCAGCTGCAGGAGACGGCCAACAACCTGGTGGCCGGCCTCATGGAGGACGAGCGGGAGCCGGCGGCCGGCGGCGGACGGGCGCCGGCCGCCGCCGCCCCGGCTCCCGCAGCCGTCGCCGCTGCGCCAGCTGCGCAGACCGCCGCCGCCGCCGCCGCCGCTGCCGTCGTCGGAGGAGCCACCGGCAGCCCCGAGCGAGAGCGCAGCGAGGGGGCCGACCGCTGGTTCTACACAGACCCGCAGGGGCAGGTGCAAGGTCAGTCGGCCGTATGGGCAGGCGGCGCGGCCGCTGTCTGCGGTCACGCGTGGTCGGCTGTTTCTACCCAGATAGTTGCCCAACTGCAGAGGTGATATTTGTTCGAGATGCCGCGCTGTTGCGGCCGGTGCCCTGTTTGCGCCTGAAGGCTGCTGGGAGATGTCCGGCTGCCGTGTCGCTCCTCCAGGACCAACTGTCCAGTATCCGCCGTGTGCGGCGCTGGGCGATGTCGCCGAAGCGTGGCGCCGGCCTGTCAGCTGCCGCGGCGTGCGTGACGTTGGCCGCCACCGGCAGGCCCGTTCACGGCGGCCGAGATGCTCGAGTGGTACCGGTCCGGCTACTTCCGGCCGGACCTTCTGGTGCGCCGCGGCTGCGACGAGCAATTCAGCCAGCTGGGCGAACTGGAGGCGCTCTGGGGCCGCGTGCCGTTCGCGCCCGGTCTCGCGGCGCCGCCCGTGCTGGTGAGCGGACGGCGGCAGCGCCTGGGCGGTGTTTGGGTCCGGCCCGACGGCACTGCAGACCGCACGTTGTGATGCTGTGGTCATAATCGGGTGAAACGCCTTGCATTGCCTTCGCGACGATAGTGAGAGATGCTTCAGCTATCCTTTTATGCACCACAGCGGAGTTAGCATTGCAGAAGCTGACTCCCGGTTTGTGTAGCTTTGCTGCGGTTGGTCTTACACGGGTAATACACCTGTGCTGTGGGCTAATGGAGCTGCATGCTCGTTCGCTGCCAGGCCAGCAGCTCACGCTGGCACGCCGTGCAGTATTAACTCGCCCCTGCCGCGCCCCCGCTCCACAGAAGCCAAAGGTTCCGGAGCCAGACGGCGGCATTGCAGCGGCGTTCCAGCAGCAACAGCTCTTGCTGGCGCAGCAGCAGCACCAGTTCATCCAGCAGCAGCAGATGCGGCAGCAGGTGATGGCCTCTGCGCTGATGAAGCTGCAGCAGTCGGCTGAGTTCCGGGCCCAGCCGCCGGCGCAGCAGCAGCAGGTATTCGCATTCATCCGCTTAGCAGCACCACGGACTTACAAATGCCTGGTGTTGTTGATCGTGCCGGTGCCCTGTTCCATTCGTCCCACGTGCACCGGACCTGCAGACGCAGTATATAGGAGAGCTCTGTTGTGAGGTGCCTGTCCAACTAGCGAAGCCGAGCGTATGAAAGAAGTGCGTCGGTGGATGCATGATGTGGTGTTCGATTTGGGCTGATGTCCGGGAGCGTGTGGAGGGCTGACGGGCCACCCCGCCCGGCCAGATTCTCTCCCAGTACCTGATCACGCAGCACCTGACAGAGCCGATGATGGCGCCGTCGCCGGACTTCTTCTCCATGCAGGTATGTGACCGAGCTGTGGCCGAGAGCCTGGGCTTGCTCGTGCGCGGGTGATGTCCGATGCCGACAGCCCAATCGTGCGGGCCTTAACGACATGGTCGGGCGCCCCAGGCGACTCGTAGGCGTCACTTTGGAACAGTTTGCGTTGTCTCTCCCATTACTACACGCAACAAGATCAAATTTTTGCCATGTCGCAAGGGCTAAACGCTTTTTTCGTATGGCGTTTATAAGGTTGGAATGTGCTTTGGCCGATGTGAATGGTGCCTGTTGGTTTTCCACTGGCTGGAGTTGCTGCCACACGCTGGGCTGCCCGCGAGGCAGCGCTCCCGGACTATTTCCGGCGCGGGGCGAAGCTGTGGGCAGCCGTCGTGCTCGGCAGGTCGGTCAACAGCGCTGGTCCCGTTTCAGAGCATGATAGGCAAGCCGACCGTGACGCTGCCCAGCGTGCCCGGTATGCCTGGCATGCCAGGTATGCCGGGCATGGGCGTCCCGGGCGGCGGCATGGCGCCCAGCGCACTCCAGCAGATGCTGCAACAGATGCAACAGCAACAGCAACAGCAGCAACAACAGCAGCAGCACAGCAGCAGCAGCAACAGCAACAGCAACAGCACAGCAACAGCAGCAGCAGCAGCACAGCAGCAGCAGCAGCAGCAGCAGCAGCAGCAGCACAGCGCAGCAGCCAAAGGTGGTGTCGGGCGAGGCGTCTGCGGCGCCCGGCGCTCCGGCGGCCGGCCGCGCCGCCGGAGCGTCACCCGACCCCATCCAGAGTCTGATGCAGCAGCTGTCGCGTGCCGGCCAGCCGCCGCCGGTCACGGCCGACTCGGTGTGGTCCGGCACGCACCCGTGGCCGGCAGCGGCGCCCGGCGCCGGCCCGGCCGCCGGCTGGGCGCCGCGCGACGACCCCCAGCGGCAGCAGGAGCGCGCGCGCGAGGTTCAGGTACGTCCGGCGCTCGGACCCCGTGTCGCTACCGTCGTCGGCAGGCGGCCACCCGCCAACGGCGTCCGGTGGCGAAGGCGGTCTGGACATAACGTAAATAGCCGGTTGGTGCTTTTGCTCGGGTTTTTTTACACACACGCGCGCGCAAGTTCCGTTACGGCTCATTCAGGTGGTTAGGAAAGATGCATTTTGTGCAGTGTTCGTGCGACCTTGAAACTATTTGGAGACTTTCTCCGCGTGTGATGACAGACTACCCGTATTGCTACGAGCGCTTGGCGTGATTGGCGGTGCTGACGATGTGGGCGGGGCCGGCCGACAGGAACGGAAGCTGCTAGAGGAGTCAGCCCGCCAGCGAGACGAGGAGCGGCTGCGGCTGGAGGCCAGCCGCTGGCAGGAGGAGCGGCGCGCCCAGGAGCAGCTCCTGCAGGAGGAACGCCGCCGCCAGGAGCAGCTGGAGCGACTGCGGGAGGAGCAGCGGCAGCGCGAGGAGGAGCAGCGGCAGCGTGAGGAGGAGCAGCGACAGCGCGAGGAGGAGGAGCGACGGCGTGAAGAGGAGCGGCAGCGGGAGGAGGAGCGACAGCGGGAAGAGCAGCGGCTGCTGGAGGAGAAGCGGCAGCAGGAGGAACAGCGGATACGCGAGGAGGAGGAGAAGAAGAGGGTGGAGGAGGCGCTCAGGGAGGAAAAGGAGAGGCGGAAGCAGGAGAAGAAGAGGGAAGAGCAGAGGAAGAGGGAGGAGCGTCAGGCGCAGGAGGAGGCGCTACGACGAGGAGGAGGAGCGGGAGAGGTGAGTGAGTGGCGGTGCACCCTCCATTAGGATAGCGGATAAATACAGTGTATGGTTAGGTCAGTGTATTGGCTTGTTGAACACTAAAGTTTGGACACCAGTTTCTAGTTCTGTGTAAGGTACCAGAGAACTTAAGTTAAAGAGAGCTATTTCTGGCTCTTTTTGCCATGGTGGAAAAGTCAGCGTGCTCTCTTAATCCTTGCGTGACAGTTACATGGAATTCTGTCAATAACATTGAATCTGTACGCGGGAAGCTGCTGTCGAACACTGAGTTTTGCCATTCAATAATTTATGCTGACTGGTTGGGTCAGCCGAACGTCTTTTGTGCCCCTGTTCTCCGCAACTGAGCCACGAGATTGCTCACTGTCGTATGCTGTGCCCCTGTTCTCCGGGAGCGAGCCAAGAGACGTCGCGCTGTCGTGTCTCGCCGTGGTCGCCGTGACCGGAGGGCTCAGCCAAGCTCAGTGCCGCCCTCGTGCCGCGCTGCTGTAAACCAACCGCAACCACGGCTCTGTGTGTAGGGAGGCGGAGCGGGTGCGGCAGGAGGAAGAGGAGGCGGCGCAGCGGCGCGCGCAGGAGGCCGCACTGCAGCGCCTGCAGGAGCAGCAGCAGCAGCAGCAGCAACGGGTGCAGCCGGCGCCGCCGCCCGCCCAGCCGGCCTGGGGCAGCCAGCAGGCGGCGGCGCCCAGCCTGTCGGAGATTCAGCGGCTGCAGGACCGCGACAGGCGAGAGGTACGCCGCGCATCACCCCTCGGCCGGCTCCTCTCCCTGACATAGAAGGCGACATAGCCCGGCTGGCTGGACGTGAGACCTCTGCGCGAAAGGCCTCAGGTTGATCTAACTATGGTGGCTATGTGACTAACACTGCATGAGGGGCTTCGTGACCGGGCACATCAACTTTTTGTGGGCTCTGCTTCGAAAAAGCTCCTGTGCAGCGAGCCAGTCGGGTCGGCAGTGAGACGAGCGTAGCGCTGCGCGGGCATGGCCGTGGTCCGTGGTCCGCGGCCAGTCCGACGGTGCGGTGTGCGGCAGTGTTGCTGTGGGACCGGCCGGACGACTGCGGGTCTGGTGGGAGGCTGAGTCCCCGGGCTGTTACTGCCGGCAAGCCACTTGGGTGCTGCGTGCGAACGCTGTTTGTTCCCCGCCACAGCGCCAGCACCAGGAGCAGTGGCGACGCGGCGACGCCGCGAGCAAGAGCTGGCGCTGACCGTCCAGCAGCAGCAACAGCAACAGCAGCAGAAGCTGAAGTGGGCCGCGCAGCCGGCGCCCGACGACAACATCAAGTCTCTGGCCGAGATTCAGGCGGAGCAGCAGCGCGAGCTGGCCAAGGTACGTGCCAGGCTGGGCGTGTTCGCACAGCGGTGGTGCAACAAGGCTGGAAAGGTGTGCGCGCAAATGCCGGCCACCAGCTGGTGTCTGTCTGGACCACCGCGTGTCCGTCTGTGTGGACATTGTCTTGAGCGCATGGGTGTCGACGGGCTTGTCATGCATAGCTGTCGGTACCCGATCCCAGGTGAGGGACAATTATCGGCGCCTCCACACGGCCGAGCACCTGATGTCACAGGTCTGAGCCTTACCTGGACGTACATGGCCCGGCTCGGGGACGCCCGGTCAGGGGCTTAGTGTGCTCTGGGCAGTGGGAGCATGACGGCCTTGGACAACCGGTGCTGGCCGATTATCAGGCGTGGTATCCCTCTGTGCTAGTTTTGGAGTACCTCCGTTCGTTATCGGCTTATTATTTTTTCATCGAAGACATCTGCGTACCTGACAGCTGGGCCTTCGATAAGCTTATGACTGAGTGATGCGTGGGCTCCGGTACGTCGGCCCCATTAGTGGGTTCCATTAGTCCAGAAAGTACGTGCCAAAGGATCATACCTCTGCTTGCCTATATGTTTTCTGCACCGGTCCAAAGCCCCTTAATCAAGCTCAGCTTGTATCCGCGTAGGTCGTTCGCTTGGTACGCGCTCACAAATCGAAGGGCGCAGCTTGTGTCTGTATCTGCATGCCTCTTGTTGATACGAGGCGCGCGCACTTAAAGCTGCTGAGTCGCTCGAGGCAGACCATCTCCTCGTGATGCTCGTATGGCTGTGACGCGCGAGGTACCATCGCTGTGCACCAGTACAACCAATGCTCTGCGGTCATGGTCGGCATGTTTACGGCCTGTGATCTCATCTCGGTCGGCCTCCTGCATGATGGGACGGGATGGAATTATGACCGTGATGTGGCGCGCGGTGCTCCTGCGGCGTGCCCGGGCGGAGTGCAGACCCGACTGACATCCGGCGACGTCTGCAGCGCCAGCAGCGGGCCCAGGCTGAGCGGCAGCAGCAGCAGCAGCAGCTCTCGTTCAACCAGGCGGGCGTGTGGACGGGCGCCGCCCAGAATCTCAGCTGGAGCAAACTGGCCGCGTCCGCGCCGGCCGCCGCCGCCGCCGCCGCCGCCGCTGCCGTCGTCCCCACCCCCGCTCCCACCCCCGCACCCACCCCTGCCGCCGCCCCCGCCGCTGCCCCTGCGCCCGGTGCGGCCGCACCGGCGGCGGCGGTGTGGGACGGCCCGGCCCGGCCGACGGCGTCCGGCCCGTGGGCGGCCGCCGTCGCCAACAATAAGCATAGTACAAGTGAGTGGGGCCGCGACCGCCGGCGCCGCCTGCGTGCCGGCGTGCCGGAACGCGGGGCGGGCGCCCGCCACCGCCGCGCGACTGACGTGTGCGACCCTGCGCGCTGCTGCAGGCTGCCGGCGGCTGTCGTCACTCTCACTGCACCGCCGAACGGCCGGCGTGCTCGTGCTGTGGTTGCGGTGCCAGCTCCGGCCCGGGTTTTCACCCGTCGCCCGTGCCTGTGACTGTCAGGGATCGAGGGGGTGGGGGTGCGCGCTGCCCATCGGGAAGGGGACTGTAGCGGGTGGCTGGCTCTTTAGACGCCGTGCGTCCCGACCGTCGGCTGACGGCGCGCTCCCCTGCGCCAGATTCGTCGTCGGGCGCGGCTGGCGGTTTCTGGGAGCCGATCGGCGCCGGCACGGCGGGCAAGAAGCAGAAGGCGGGTGCGCAGCCGGCGGCCGCCTCTAAGAAGAAGTCGCAGCGCAACAAGGCGGAGGATTCGGTGATGAAGCTCTTCGCGGGGCCGGAGGATCCGTCCGACGACGGCTTCCACGCCTGGGCCACGGCCACGCTCAGCAAGATGAAGACGGGCGTGGATGGTGAGTGGGCCCAGGTCGGACGCCGGCTGCGTGCGCCGCGGAGCTCAGCCAAGCGCCGCTCTGTTTTTGTGTTAATAGCATTGTGTGCAGTGGATGTCGGGGAGTGGATTTTGTCGGCGGTACGCGAGTTCTGTCTTCAGTAGGCCGTGATTGGTACCCTCAGCCATGCCTGGCTGGAAGAGATGCGCGCAAGTGCGTTGTCCAGTCGTGCCCTGCGCCTGGCTGGGGCCGCGCGGCGTCCGCGGCTGCCCAGCCGGGCGTGGCGTGTGCCGCGTGCCGCGGTGCCCCACTGACGCCGGCCACGCTTTGTCGGCGCAGTGCCCACATTCATCGGCTTCCTGAAGGACGTGGAGTCGCCGTACGAAGTGCAGGACTACGTGCGCTCCTACCTGGGCGACGGTAAGGAGACCAAGGAGTTCGCGCGACAGTTCATGGAGCGTCGCAGCCGCTGGAAGAACGCCTCCAAGCGCAAGGAGAGCGAGGACAATATGTACGGTCCGGCTCGCGCGGTGAACCCGGCCAGCAACGAGTTCCAGGAAATCAAGGTGGGTACGAGTCGCGGCTTCGAGCTGCAGGGTTGGTGGGTACGAGCCGCGGCTTCGGGCTGCAGGGTTGGTGGGCCGGGATGGCGGAGGTGGAAGTCGGCGCGAGGGCTTGGTCGTTAGGCACTGCTGGAGACTGGGCCAGCACCCAGATCTGATTGGTCGCATCGATGAGTACCGTTTGTGAGTCACGCACCTGATAACGTTCATTGGTGTCAGAGTTGACACTTTCCGTAGAAAAGTTGAGAGGCCCCAACTTTGACTTTGGGCCACCAGAGTCCGTGCTTTCTATGTATCGTCAGGCGTCTGACGTTTAAGTGTGGAATTCTGGTCAATGTTTGCTGTAGAGAAGTTTTCGATCTTGTGAAAAATTAATTGGAAGCTTTCCAAGTCCCAAATTGGCCGTCTCGTGAATGGTTATAGTGTTTACGCAACTAAGAGTTATGCCTGCAAATCAGAACGAATTTGAACTGAGTGTGTGTCATAATTATGTTTCATGTCGCATCAATGCGCATTTACATCGCTTGGATGGTACCATTCTGTCCATACAATGCTAACATGCAAATTACTCATGCAGATGTTTGATTTAGATCATAATCGTCATGCGTGCAAAATGCGATGGATGCCCATCAGTGCATGTGTACAATGTGTAAGCTTGCGGTGTGCAAGTTCTTTGTGCTGTGCTAGGGTGGGAATCGCACAAGTACATGCTATAAAGTATTGCCATTGTTTGTGGACCTACCCCAAACACCATCCATAGGTGATTAGTGTCATGCCACCACAAACAGCCTTTGCCAGTCATGCTTTTCAGGAGCATGATCATTGTTCGTTTCCTGTGTTTTTCGTGCTATCGGTTTCCGCGGCTGTGTTTTTTATTTCTGGCAAAATGCATCATTTGGATGCCTGCTATGTTTCATTCATAGTAACTATCTGTTACGGTTTTGCTCTGTTTGAGGGATTTCATTCACCTTGACATATTATAACTGGTGCGATCACTATGTCTCGTTCCTCCTGCTTGATTGTGCTATAATCACACTACTCTACTCATTTCTTGCAAAGCACACCATACCATCTTTACGGCACATGTTTCTGTGGTTATGGTTTGTCCTCAATCAGCTAATGGCACATTTCAGCTTGCCAGCCAAGCCGCGTTGCTATGTTTTTAGATTCTGATCACTTACATGCGACGAGACTGAAAGCCTCACTTCGTGACGTGGTGCATGCATGTGCGCTTTGAATGTTGACTGAGACGAGTCTAGGGCAGTGTTTAGCGTTGGTTATTGATGGTTGGCTCAAGTGCCATCACCAGGCATTGGATCGCTCACCTGACGCCGTCTGCAACTCCACAGCCGAAGGGCCGCAAAGGCAAGAACAAGAACCGCGCCGTCGATAGCAGCATCCTGGGCTTCTCGGTCACGTCCTCCGAGGGCCGCCTGAACGTGGGCGAGCGCGAAACCATCAACTGAGCGGCGCCGCTGCCGGCCGGGTGGGCGCGTCGGCCGAGGCGCCGGCGGAGGCGAGGATCGGGGCCCGGTGACGGCCGCCGCGCGGGGAGCGCCAGCGGCTGGGCACGGACTGGCGGGCGGCAGACGCACTGCGGCACGGACAGATGTACCGTGGCACAGAGGTGGACTGGACAGCGACAGACGCACTGTGACACGGGGAGATGGACTGAGGCATGGACAGACGCACTGTGACACGGGGAGATAGACTGAGGCAGGGAGAGACGGACTGTGACAGGGACATGGACTGAGGCAGGGAGAGAGAGAGAGAGAGAGAGAGAGAGAAGAGAGAGAGAGAGAGAGAGAGAGAGAGAGAGAGAGAGAGGAGACGGAGACGGAGACGGAGACGGGAGACGGGAGACGGGAGACGGAGAGACGGGAGACGGAGACGGGAGACGGGAGACGGAGACGGAGACGGACCATGACACAGGGAGGTGTACTTTGTGTTAGGGAGACGGATTGTGACAGAGGGAAGCAGACTTTGTGTATCGGAGACAGGGTTAGGCAGGGAGACGAGAATCGGCATCGTGGGACGAACTGTATGACAGGGAGACTGTCAGGGCGGGGGGGGGGGGGGTAGGGAGATGACTTTTGGGTCGGGACGCGGAAACCACCAGACAGTGGGAGGGGGACGTATTGTGAAACAGGAGAAAATCCCTGTGATAGGCAGACGCCCCGCGGCGAGGAAACGCTCCCGTGCGGCAGGGTGACGCCCCTGTACGGCAGGGCGACGCTCCCGTGCGGCAGGGTGACGCCCTGTACGCAGGGTGACGCCCTGTACGGAAGGGTGACGCTCCCGTGCGGCAGGGTGACGCTCCCGTGCGGCAGGGGGACGCCACCGTGCGGCAGGGGGACGTTCTGTGCGGCAGGGGGACGGACTGCAGACGGACTGCGCGCTGTGATACCGCCGAGCCCGGGCGTGACTGAGGCCGGGCCGTGGGCCGCCCGCTCAAGCTGGCCTCAGAGGTGTGGAGCTAGTCAGGAGTGCCTGGGCCGGCGTCCGGGCCGGCCGCGAGTGCGTGCGAGAGCGTGTTTGGTGCAGACGGTGGCGTGCGACGGCCGTCGGTGACGTGCTGGAGACGGCGCTGCGATTACTGCTCAGTAGGGCCGTTTTATAATTTTATATGCGTCTAATTAGTTTTGTTTCCCGCATTCTGAAATTTTAAGAGTCGGCATTGGGTGACACTTGTTCGACCGGGGGTTGTGTTGTGTGGCGGTTAGCACAGCCAATATTTGGCCTTGAAACGCATAGACGAGTGTGGTGCGTGCCCCGACAATGTATGCTTGCGTACGCGGTTGTGCAGAAGTGCAAGGATGAGGCACGAGGGCAAGGGACGGTGACGTCTAGTAGCATGCGAAGACAGCACAAGTGGATGCGTGGCCCCATACTCAAGGACATTGTTGCCGGCCGTTGATATTGGAGTATTTAAGTACGTGCCAACCGAGTGTATGCCAGTGCGGAGTGGCTGCTGTGATGCGTGGGCGGCTGTGTGACGTTGGCGGCATGTTGTTATCGGTGCGGCAGGGGCGCTGGGCGGCGAGCGAATGCCGCACGAACTGTGTGCGCCTCCCCGCGCCCGGCGCGCGGGACTCCGCGCCGGGCGCCGCCTGCGAGACACGGTGAGCCGGGTGGCCTGGTGGTGGACGGGTGGACGCGGGCAGCGCGCCGGCCGCCGGACGGCCGGGCAGCCCGTGATCGGGGCGCGCGCGCATATGTGTGATCGCCTTAGCGGCCGAGAGGCCCGCCGACAGAAAGGAGACGCCTTTTTTAGATCGTGAGAACGTTGAGTGCGTTGTTTTCTGAAGCGGAAGTGGACATCGATCCAATTGGTAAATAAAGGGGAAATGCGAGTGGGGTGCGTATATGACGTGAGGTGGGGCTTGAAAACCTGGACAAGGCTGGACGCCGTGATCCTCTTGTCACGCAGTGTCGCACAAGGGGGTTAAAAAGTCAACACTAATACGTTTAACTGGTGGGGGTCCCCGCGTGTGCATGTTTGTGTGGGGTGTGCCCCATGCTGTGAAGCGTGGCGCTCGAGTTCCGTGCTGTCGTTTCCGGTGTTTGGAAGCCAACTGAGCGAGCATTTTTGGTCTGGCTAGGACGTTTGGGATCGGCGCATATCGTACTTGTGCACCTGCGATTATAGTTATGTATGCACATTTGCATTTAAGCGGTCCTAATCGCGAGCTTTCGATATTGGCCCCTCGCGTTTTTTATCATCTCCGGACGTGACGCCGGTGGAAGGGGGGGGGGGGGGGAGCGGCATGTCGGTCTATAAAATGAGTTGAGGTATTTTTCCGCGAGGGTTGATGCGGGGTGCATCAAAGCGCCGACGGCTATAGTCGATTTAGGGCGCAGAAAAACTAATTCAGCCAAAACCTTTTCAACAGAATAACATCCTGGACGAGGATGGCGGAACATTAGTTCCTCGATCTTGTCTTGGCTGCCTGACGAGTAACGTGGTTGCTCGAAATAATTCCAGCACGACCGGAATCGCAGCTGCATCATTCTAGCACATCAGCTAGGTATTTGTTTCACCACCGTCAGATCAATCCTGCAGGTTTGTACGCGCATGTATACATCGTTACTCAATTTATACTCTATAGCATAGATCATCCTTTGTCTAGACACGTTATGCGAGCCTGGCAATCAGTGACGTACTTGCAGAGGACTAGATTTTCTAGACGCGCCGGTATGTTATCGGATGGATCGCTGGGCCAATGCAGCTTTTCTCACTATTATGAGTCCTTCTAAAGAAGTGACGTCATAAAATTCGGCGAAGCTCTAAGCTGCAAGATAGCGACTAACTTTGGTACTTTCATATGAAACGAATACAAATCGGAGCGGTTTAGTAGCTGGCACAGCTGTATGCCAAATATTTAGGGCTGAACTGCATAACTGTCAAAATGTACTGCTATTGTTGTCATAGAACCCTTGGTCGTTGCCATGGTTACGAACTTCCGCAAACCCAAAGTACGGCGTAAGTTCGCAAAGTGAAGTGTAGGCCGCATAATAATGCCATTTTTCTTCGATTCACAATGCTAAAAATGTATTGCTCAGCATCGTGCCGAAATGCGTTGTAAAACGACGATACGGCAGCCGTCGCCTCAATGTTATTTCTCAAAGAGATGTATTGGGTAAGACATGCAAGAAGCATGGTTTCGTGCCTGCCGACAAAAAGCGCTTGTGAGATCTGAACAGCCAGGGTTTGTTTGGAGCATTTTATAGAAACGGGCTTGTGAATTTGATTTGGAGTTTGAACTACTTTCATCCCGAGAAGGACGCAGATTCAATCCCTGCGCGAAAGCCTTATTTGAACAATGCAAAGGAAGTTTCAGCGGCGGCGCCAGGCCACTGGGATAGCGCAGACACTGAAGTGGAGCTGCAACAATCCAAGCGGATGCATGGCTATAGGCTATGTGGGTTTTCCTTTCACATGCTCTCAAGCTTATTAAGTCTGGCCTGGTATGAGGGTCGACGCGGCGAACACTGGATGCCCCCCCCCCCCCCCCCCCCCCTCCCAATGGATGTAGTTTTCTATTCATTTGGAGGGCTTCGGCTTCCCTAACTTTTGGAAGGAAGTGGGCCAAATCTGTGGAGAAACATGCTTGTTGGCGTATTTTTTTGGTAGCTTGGATCATTTTTGACCTCACTGTGGTGAACATGTCCCAGGAGGCACTGATCACCCGCCGCTGATCACAGCGCGCACGTGTGAAGCGTGCGTGTCGCCCTGGCGTGCGGCAGCTGGATCTCGCGCCGGCTCGGGTCCCGCCCACCACCGACTCGCGCTCGGCAGCGCTATCTGTGAATAGATCCCCGTATCGACGCCGCGGCATCGATCGCCGAGCGCCACGGCCGACGGTCTGGCGGGCTAGGCGCCACGGCACCGCCGCCTGCCGCCGCCGGCCGAACCAGCCGCCGCCCGACAGTGTTTTGTTTGCCTCGGGCAGGAGTGGTTCTTAGGGGGCGGCGGCGAACGTCACGAGCAGGTGCGGCCGACGCGGCCGGGTGGCGAGCTTCTCATCGGTCGCGAAGCACGGCTAGG